CATTTAAACAACAGAATTTCAGAAGACTATAATTCTTGTTCAAATAAATTTCTTTTAAAAATGAATTCTTTTAAAGACTAGCATAATTCTAATGTAATATATATATATATATATATATATATATATATATATATATATATATATATATATATATATATATATATATATATATATATATTAGGGTGTCCCAAAAAACAACATTTCTGAAAATAATCTCTCACCCCCTAAATGTGTTCTATCTAATGCAAAAACACTAGGTTTAAATTTTTTTTGAATAAAAAATATTTTAAGGGGTCCCTCAAAACCCTCGAATATTTAATGGGTCCCTAATATTTTCGAAAAAAAAGTTTTTCAAAAATATGTCAACCTGGTACTTAAATGAAGCGAAATTATATAAAAATTTTAAAAATAATATTCATTTCTAAACAAAATTGTTATTTTTGGTTTTATTACATAAAAAATTGAGTTTTTTAAGAAAAAATTAAAAAAAAAAATGCATTTTTAATGTTTTTTCATGATAATTTTGATAAGTTAAAAATATTTTGAAATGAATATTATTTTTGAAATATTTATATAATTTCGCTTCATCTGAGTACCAGGTTAACATATTTTTGAAAAACTTTTTTTTCAAAAATATTAGGGACCCATTAAATATTCGAGGGTCTTGAGGGACCCCTTAAAATATTTTTTATTCAAAAAAAATTTAAACCTAGTGTTTTTGTATTAGATAGAACACATTTAGTGGGTTAGAGCAGATTATTTTCAAAAATGTTGTTTTGTGGGACACCCTAATATATATGTACAAATATTATTGCGTACTAAGGTAAGCAATCTGACGTCATACAGAAATAGCCTGCTGCTGGGGGCTTCAGTACATACATCGACTGACTAATAGCCTGACTCGCAGTGGAGTGCTGCTACATCGACTGAGGGTTTGGGATGGGGAAACAATCGTTTTATTCGTCATTTTTCGTTTTTTCTTCTTTTTCGAAAAAAACGGTATAGCTTAAGGTAAACAGAAAAAGTGAGCAAATGCTTATCAAAACACGCTTTAGTATATATATATATATATATATATATATATATATATATATATATATATATATATATATATATATATATATATATATATATATATATATATATATATATCAGCACTTGGAATTAGGAAAAATAAGATTGGCAATAATTATAAAACAAAGGTTTGACCATAAACATAAAAACAAGGTCGGCAAATTTTAGCCAACCTCAAACACTTTTAGGTCGGCATTGTCAAATGCCGACCCTAATTCTAAGGGTTATATATATATATATATATATATATATATATATATATATATATATATATATATATATATATATATATATATATATATATATATATATATATATATATATATATATATATGTGTGTATGTATGTATATATATATATATATATATATATATATATATATATATTTATATATATATATATATATATATATATATATATATATATATATATATATATATATATATATATATATATATATATATATATATTGCCATAGATAAATTGAAAACATAATGGAATTTTTCATATTCTATTTAAAATTTCTTGTTAAAATAATTTTTAGTTAGAAGTTTTTATGTCTTAACAATATGCAAATAAAAAAATTTTAACAATAGATATAAATAAAATAATTGGTATAGCTAAATTTTGCAAGTAAATTTATTTGAGCATGATAAGTATATTTAATAAGTTTAGTAACTTAACTTTATGGTTGTTTTGATTTACTTTAAGGTAAACTTACTGTGGATGTACTTTGTTCATAAAGTACAACACACTAAGTTTAACTTTTAAGCAGAACAATGAAATTATTAGCTCACCATACAGTGATTCAAAGTAATTAAAAATCCAAAAAAAATTTAATAAAGTAATATGAAAAAAAAATTTCGAAAAAAAAAGTTGTTAAGTTTGCAATCGCAATACGCTTAGTTTGATATATACAGGTTTCAGTTGAAATAGTGGGCTATAGCATGCCCTTGCCTTTACGCCTGTGTAAGTCAATTTATGAAGGCATAGATGTGGTAAAGTATATATTTTTGGTTAAAAAACTGTTACATATGTTGATATTTTTTATTTAGTTATTCTTTAAAAACTTCTCACATGTAATATGTAAAAAATAAAAAAAAAGAAAATAAACAGTTTTTTTAACTGTTCTGTATTATTGTGTATATTAAGTTATAACTTAATTGATATGTTAAAAAGCAGTCAAAATATATGCACGAGTTGCAAAAGAATTTGACATGTTATTCCAGGTTTTTAGAATTTACTGGAAAATCAAAAACTTAAACGATGAGAATCAAGCCTTCCCAGGAAACGTTTGCGGTTTTCGTCTTGTATGACCACACATGAGTATTTTATTTTAGACAACTTGGTCCCGGCTGTTTGATAGTTTTATTATATTAATCATTGTTTAAAAAACTTTCAAAAACAAAAAAGTAAAACTAACAAAATAGGAAATTAAAATAAATTTAAATAGGAAAAAGATATAAAATATAAATTGCAATCTGTTTGTAAAATAAGTTTGTGTAGTTTTAATGTAATAATTATATATTGTCCCTATATGAATATGTCTATGTAATGCATGTGTATACTTTATATAGTTATATTTATTTGTTCATATGTATGCACATGTTTGGCTTATTTGAATATGGCATTTACTTCATAAATGGATTGACCGTGGTTCGAAACCCATCTCTTCCTAATTTTTTTTTTTTTTTACACACGCACAGAGCCAAATGTTAAAAAGAAATATGTCCAGCAAAAGAAAGATAATATGAAACAATTAAGGGTATGTGAAAAATGTGTAGACAGCATGGCTGTCTTGACCAATCTCTTCTTATGGCCAATTGATATCCTTACTTAGAAAATACACTGGAAAGCTTAAATGATATAAGAAATTAGAATGTGATGAAATGTGTACCGTTCAAAAACATACAACAAAAATTTTTTTATACACAAATAAGAAAAGATGAATGGTTACAAAGCAAACATATGAGCAGTGGTATTTAAAAGAAAAACGAAAAAATTTGGACAGTTGTAGGAATCAAACCACAGACATTCTGTGTAAGTTAACGCTTTATCCAAATAAGCTAAACGTGTATATACTTTGAAATAAATAAATTATATAATACAAAAAGTTATACATAAAAGTATACACATGCATTACATAGATGTATTCATAAAAGGACAATATATACTTGTTACATTAAAATTATACAAATATATTTTACAAACAGATGGCAATTTATATTTTTGCTTTCCTCTTTAAAAAAAAAAACAATTACAATATAAGAAAATCATTCTCTCTAATGTCAACTTAAAACTATTTTTTTTGCTTTGACTTATTGAATTTTGTTGCTGAAAATAGTTTTTTTTTCTTTTCCTAATTTAAGTTTTATTTTAATTTTGTATTGTTTTAGTTTTGCTTTCTTTGTTTTTAAAACTTTTTTCCGCAACACTGAATATAATAAAACTTGTAAGCAGCCGTGACTAAGTTGTCTAAAATAAAATACTCATGGGTGGACATGACAATGACATGACATGACATGACAAAAAACATGTCATGACATGGCAAAAAACCGCACACGTTTCCTGGGAAGGCCTGAGAATTGTTAGATAAAGAAAAACTATTCATGTGTTTTGCTTAAATGATTGATAAACTAGTTTGTCATACAGACAAAAGTATGTCAATAAATTGTATAAATGTCTATAATTATGTCTCAAAATTAATTAAACAAAACTATTGTTTTGAGTATATATGAAATAAAGACAGCAAAAAACCAAACATGCATCTGAATAAACTTCACTAGAGAGTAAAGAAACAAATCCAAACATAAGATCATAACACACTAAGTGAAATGCATACAAAAATACACAAATGCATAGGCAAAAAAAGGCATACAAAAAGGCAACAACAAATAAAAGCAGTGTTACTTTAACAAATGGTATTAGAAAAAAAGCCCCTTGAAAAATGAATTGTTCTTTGCAAATGTTAAATATGAGGTAGACATTTAGAAGCTGTTTTATATGCATTTCCCGAAGTTTCAGCCAATATTTGGTGTGGGTTACTTTATAGTTCTTAATGGTAGGGGTGTAAGTTCATTTACATGTCCTACAATATCATCTCGCAGGTTCATTTTAATTTTTGCTTTACATTCTTCTTTTTGGCATAAAATGCATTCAAACCAACAAATTTCATTTGCAAGGAAAATGCAAAAAAAATTTATTTTTAAGTTTTTTAAATTTATCTGGCTAGAAATGTTAGTTAACATTTCAAGCCAATTTTACTAACATACCTTGTTATCATTTCTTTGTTACAAACCATATTTCGTTTATTATTTTAAAATTTTATAATTTATTATTGTTGTTTTTATATAGACTATATTTTTAATTCTACTAATTATTTATTAATAACTAAATTATTAAATATAAAAAAATAAAATAAATATAAAAATAATAATATAAAAACTAAATAAATTGAAAATATTTTTTTGAAGTGCAAGCCTATTTTTCTGTATTTTTATCACTAAGAAAAAAAACAAATCTTTTTACTATTTCTGGAATTAAGAAAGATTAAAATAAAAGTTCAGTAAAATTATGTTGAAAACAAAATAATTTTAATTTCTTGAAAAAACATATTTCATCAATATCAATAATCATATAAAAAAAAAAATGCATTCTTTGCCTTGCATAAAATGTCATTGATGATTTCATAAGAAATAGCCTTCTTTGAGGGCTTCCTCGAATATGAGTTCAGGTAGATACTAACTAGCCATCAATAAATTTTATTACAGAAAATAATTATTTGGCTGTGTTAACACAAGGTTGTGTTATTAGTTTATGATGAAATAAAATTGCATGCCTTAATTTTTAGAAATTGTAGATAAACTGTTCATTTTTAAATACTAATTTATCTATTTATATTTGGTATATATATTTATCTATAACAGATCTTGCCATAATGACTTCTCTTCGCTCAAGGAAACTTGCTGTTATGGGATTTCGTTCTGTTGGTAAATTGAATTTGTTTGCATTGTGTACAGTTAATATAAATTTTTCTTATCATCCCACTGAGCAATTTATTAGTTTTTATTTGGTAAATTTCTTAAATTTAGTTCAAATTTTTGCAGTTAATTTGTTAAAATCATTTGTTTCAGGGAAATCTTCATTATCAATTCAATTTGTGGAAGGTCAATTTGTCGACTCTTATGATCCAACCATAGAAAATAGTAAGATTTTATTTTGAAATTTAATACAGATGATTTTATTGTCAACCGCAACTTTTTTAATTTAAAAACTTTTTTTTTTATTTTAACTAAGAATGTTAATTTTTTTTATTATTTTATGATTTGTCAGCCATTATTAAAATAGTAACAAATTGTAATTATTTTAATAATGGCTAGTCAATGATCTTTGTTTCACATTTAATTGGGAAGAGTTGCAGGTCAAATTTTTATAATAATATAGATGCACACTTTTATAATAATATAGTATGCAGCATAAATTCACATGTTAAGCAAAATTTATATATTTTTTTCTAATTAATTAAAATGTGGTTGTTCCGGATCTGTTGATAAAAAAGTTTTTCTGATGCATGGTTTGATTTATAAAGGAGCCAAAATGGAGTTTGTGAATTTTTTTTTTTCCTAGAAAGAAAAAACTCATTAAATTTTTTTGTTTTGTTTTCTTTTTGTTCTTAGGGAATTTCGGGTTACAAAATTTTATTTATTTATAATTTTCATGTATTTTAAGAAAAATAGAAAGAAAAGTAATTTTTGAGCAGCAGTTCACCTTGTGTCTATCAGGGATCGCTAGAAGTTTAATAAAAATTCCAAAATAGACATAAAATTTTGGCAATGGTGCTAGCAAAAAAGTTACAAATAAGTTTTGACATAAAAAATTTTAGTTTTTCTTTTATGGCCAAAAAACTGTAAAATTTAATTATTAAATTTTTAATTTTTTTTTTTTTTTAGTTCTATGAAATTTGCCTTTCCAAAATATTCTTTTTAATTTTTATACATTTTTGGAAGAAATACATGAAAAATAAATTTTTAGATATGGTTTGCTATGTGGCTATCATTGACCACTAGAAATTTTCTAAAAGTTCTGAAATTGCTTTAAAATGATAACATTGGTGCCAACAAAATAGTTATGAAGATCTTTTTTATTAAAATATTATAGTTTTTATTTCAAGGCCAAAAAACTGTAAAACTTCCTAAATCTAAATTGTAAATCTAGTAGAATTCAGCACTAATTTCGATTTAAATTAATTAAATTACTTTTAAATTTAATGTAGTTTTCCTATGTGATTTTATTTTATCTCCAGATTTAAAATATTTTAAAATTATATTTTCATAACTCATCTCTGGTTTGTAACCAATTACGATTCTATATTTCTTTTGTATTTTTCTTTTGACTCAAGCAGTCTTTGTTCCATTAACAGTCCATTATTGCTTTAATCATTGATCTTTCTAAAATAGTTTTTGAGTTGAGCCCAATATATTTCTATAGGGTTGAGCTCACAATGAAACTTAGGAATATTAATTTTTTTTTTTGCCCATTTTTTTTTTATTGTGCTCTTTAACTAGCTCATCTAACTTTATTCCTTTTGTAAAAGCTAAATGAGATGATTCTTTTATTTTTAAGCCAGAAGAATGTCTGAGATTTTCATGTGTAAATCAATAATTTCCAAGTCTTTGCATAACAAAAACAAGTCTTTAGAAATACCATCGGCACCAAAACAGTTAACTTTCTTTTCAACACTTTCCTCAATCGGATTTTTCCATTATTTATCCATTTTAGTTGCTTTATTAGAAAACCGTACCAGGTGATTTAACATCTTTTATCGCTTTTGTATGTGTGGTTGCATTAACAACAAGAATATCAATTCGAAAATTTACTGACTTCATTATTACGCTATATCTTAGTAGAGTCAAAAGTTGAGTAAATTGAATAAAAATTATGTCATCGTCAACAAAAGCTGTGTTTTCCGGGCATGATGGTACTTGTTACTATTCAAGGAAAAAATTTAATGTAAGTTTTGAATTGCTTTATAACTTCCAATATATAGTGATTTTTAATCTTCTTCTGGTTCAATTTAAACATATCAAAAAATTATTTTTTCTTGTGTTTCTTCCAATTATATATTAAAATTGAAAAATATTTTTTTGGTAAGTCAATTCTCATAACACTAAAAGAAAGTAAAAAAAAAAAAAAAAAATTCAAAAAGTTTAATAATTTTTTTTTTTTAATTAATTTATTTTAAATTTTTTTAAATTAGTTTTACGGTTTTTAGGACATAAAATAAAAACTAAATTTTTTATGTAAAAATTGCTTTGTAACTTTTTTACTGGCACCAGTGCAGCCTGTTTTTGAATTTATATTAAATTTCTAATGATCCCTGGTAGTCACAAGGTGAGGCACTACCCAAAAATTACTTTTCCTTATATTTTATTTAAAAAATGCGTGAAAATTGAAAAGATATTTTTTTTTTCTTGAAAAAATTATTTTTTATGGGCTCCCTTTTGTATCCTTTATAAATCCTCTTGACATGTCAAAATTCGTGTTTTGGAGTTATAGAGTTAAGTGAGGGTTGTAACCACAATTCAAAAGTAGCCTCCTTGACTTTAGTGACCTTCACGGCCTTGGGAAGGTGAATTAACATTAAAAAAAAAAAAAAAAAAACCTTATGCCAGAAAATTTATTTACCAACAGATTTGAATTGACCAAATTTTAATTAACTAGAAAAACATAAAATTATCAATTACAGGTAAAATTTTTAAATTAGGTCAAAATTATATTGAATAAGGGTCCATAAATTATGCAATACCAAATTTCACTAAATAAAACAAAAAAGATCAAAAGTTTTTCTCTTGAAGTGCTTTAAGTTAAAAACAAAATCAAAATAGTGGATTAAGTTTAATGAAAATGCTTGGATCAAAAAGCTTAGGATTTCCTACTTCTATTTTTTAAATAAATTTAGCATTGTGTAATCTACTGACAATCCCTAATCAAAAATTTGATTGGTGGAATAATCTTTGTTTTTAAACCATAACAGTTTAAGTGAAATCAAAAAACATGTAATATTATCAATAAGTTAAAACAAAAGTTGCCAAAAAAAAAAAACATTTTTTTTTAGAAAAAACAACAACAATTAAATTGTAAATCAAATAAATAAAATAAAAACAACAAAAGCAATATTTTAAACAATATTTCCAAAATAAATACTGCAAAAAGATATTTTTACAATATAAGGTCATAGGCTTCGTCAGTAGTAAATGAGTGCACAAGCAGTGAAATGTCAGTTTAAGTGCAAGCATTTTTGTTTTTTTATATTTAGCATAAAAAGATCATGGAGAAAATTTAATGATTATGATAATTGATTACATTTTTGTAATAACTTTGTTAGTTACACTAATTTTTTGTTATAAATACATTAGAGAAACAATCGTCAGCAATGGTTGTTTTTCTGATATTTATTTATTCAATTTGTCGTATGTCCATTTTTTGTGTTACTGAGAAAATTGAGTTTTAGATTTTAGTATGTATAGACCTTCTGCCATAAAGTCGTACTGATTATTTAAATATTTCCTTAACTTATTGATTTTGAGATCAAATTTAGTGGACACACTCCACTGGTAGACAAATATTTATTGATAACAGGAAAAAAAAATGTGGACATACAGTCTCTTGGTTATCAGCTGATGAAAAATTATTTTGTTTCTTCCTATTTTTATATTTAAAAAGTTTATTCATTACTCTTTTTCGAAAATTTTTTCTCTAATTTTAAAAATTTAATAATTGCACTGAAATAGCACGGAAAAAGCATTAGAGCGAAAAGTTAAAAATTATAAGAAAAATTAAAACTTGAATAAATGCATTCAAAAACTTTTAAAATTGTTTTTGTGTTAAATAATTTAAAATTATTTCTATAACTTATTTAAGTTATTAAATATGCCTGTATCTATTGTTTTATTATTTGGGCAGAGGTGAGTTCATAGGAGTATTTTTGTTCCCGGACTACAATTACCGAAATTTTTGGCAAAACATTCTGATTTGATCTAAACATGAACATGCTTAAGTTTGGTTCAAAAAAGACGTTTTTCAAACTATGAATGTTTAAAAAAAGTCCACTTTAGGTGTACAAAACTAGAGTTTTGTACACCTAAAGTGGTTTTGCACCTTTTGTTTCAAAGTATGATTTTGAAAACTCCTTTCATAATATGTAGAAAACTAGAAGTTAGATATAGTTAGTAATTAAAAGTCAATTAATAACTTTTTCTTAAATTCCCATTTTTTCACAAATTTAGTTGATCTCTATGAAGAGTTTACAAAGCGTGAAATAGTATATTTTTATACAGTTTGTATATTATTATACAATTTTAAAAAAATAATTGCAATGTTTTCTAAAAAATCTTTACTTTTATTTATATTAAAATCTTTATTTATCTCTTTAAATCTTTATTTTTAATTTATAACTAAAATTTTAGTTTTTGTTCAAATAAAAAAAAAAAAAACTTGATGTTTTTTTTATTTGAACCTTTTTTAACAATTACTTGTTTTAAAACTGCCCTATTGTTAAGAATTTTTCTGTTTAATAATCTTAATTAGGTGGAAATGTTTCACTGCAAGATGTCCAGACATCTGAAAGAGGTCTTACTGTCATCACTAGGGATGGCACTTTTACTTACTTTTTTTTTTACTTACACGAGTAAGTAAATTTTTTTGAAAAAGTTTATTATGTAAGTAATTGTCACCATTCAAATTGAATTTACATTTACAAAAAAGTAATTAATTTTTATAAAACAACTTTTACTTTATAAAGTAAGTTTTTTTACTTTCAAAAGTAACTTATGTAAAAACAGATTACATCAAAAAGTAATTTACTTTTACAAGTAAAAGTAAGTCTCGTAAAAAAGCAATTTACTTTTACATATAAATTTAATTACTTTTTCAAATTACATTACAAAATTTAATAGTTCCTCAAAATGTAATTTACATTTACATATAAAAATAATTTATAAAAAAAATATTATATTACCGTAATTGTAAAAAAAACTTTTATATGAAAAAGAATTACATAAAAGTAATAGGCGACCAAATATAAATAAAATTTACTTATAAAATAATATTTTATAAATTGTCATTTTTCATTATATAAGTAAAAAAATTTGTTGTAAAAAATAAATTATATAAAGAAAAAATTCTATTACATAAGCTTATATTTTATATAATTTTTAAAGTAAACTAAAAATAATTTATATTTTATAAGTAAATTTACTTATATTCTAAAATAAATTAGAGAAGATATTGTGCAACCGAGTGAAATACAAAAAAATACAACTTGCATTAAAGTAACTAACATTTAGTTTTTGGCAACTTTTTTTGTGAGCGGTTTTGTCTTTTTTTTCCCTTGTAAATTTTGATGTATCTGTATTTGGTTTATAGGCATCAAAATGCTGCCAATTAAAACCATTCTTACTCCTGGTCCATGACTATATTGGGCAGTACTAGACTATGTGGTGGTGGGTAGGTTTAGGCAATGGCCATAAAATATTCAAAAGGACCGTTTTTTAAAATTCTTAAATCACTTTAGATGTTGTAGCACTCAAAAAAAAAACTACTTTAAAAATAATCTTGGGCAACAAATAATCTTAATCTGGTTATGGTTTTAGCTATTAGACTATTCTTAGAGCTAAGCCGTATTACAAACTTTCCTGAGTGAAGATGATGTTGATAGAGAATATTGTTTTGAAGATGAAGATGAAGCTTTCGATTTTAGTCTCCGCCAAAATTTGGCAGCGGCAATACAGCGCATATACCCTGGTAGATGCAGAATGGGTGGAAAGGCATAATGAAACGAAAATAGGTGTCGCGATATAGTAGAAAACGCCAATATAGATATATATCCACGAAGTCTTTAATAATATTGCTGGATTAAGGTGTGGCTAGAGTGGTTATAGCCCTGGGTACCGCACTTTTAGGAGACTCGAAAATTTTAAGAGGACTGTTTTTTTTTTAATTCAGTTTTAAGCTGTGGTACATAAAACAATCCACTTGCTTAAATAGCCCCGGAAAAATCTCATTCAGCCAATAAGCCACCTGTTCCTCAAATGTGAGAGCAACAAAATCAATTTCCATTTTCATATTTGTGAAAGTTTTGCGATAGGTTTTATAACGCTTATCATTTAGAGTTCAACATTTATGATTAAGTTTGAATGTATGAATAAAGTTTACATCCTTTCCAAAATGAGGAAGTTGTTTAAATTTTTTTGAAATAAGCATGAACACACTTTCACACTTACTTTTGGTTTCGTCCGCAGAGGACGTTATGCAAAAGAGAGAGAGTGATGGGGTCAGAAGCCATTATTGATAATTTTATAGAATGCTTCCGTTACAGTTACTAGATTTTTCCACTAATTAGATTATTTTTAAATTTGCTTCATGAGAGACTCACTAATTTTCAGTGGGATCGAATGTTTGAAGGCTCTGAAAAATAATATGACTAATAATTAAAAAAATACTTATAAAAAAGAAACGTTGCAATATACATTAAAAACATTGAAATAAACCTTATGATTTAAAAGTTGTTATAAAAAAAGAAAGGAAATGCAAAAAGATGTTATTAAAAAAGTATTAAAAAAGAAACAGTAAAATAAACTATAGTTTAGTTCATTTAGTAGCCTATAAGCAGCTGTTGCGGTTTTCAAAAGGTCTAATTTTTTTTGGAGATTTAAATTAGTTTCAAAAGGGTGAAAACCTAATTTTTCATTTGTTTTAAAAGACTATTTTAAATCGTTTATCGTCATCGTCCTTCTTTAAGATCTTTAAGTCAGCGTGGTAATTATTAACAGCAAGTCTCACCCAAATGAAAGCTAACTTTTTAAAAAGAACTATTCATAAAATTTTAGTCTTGAATAGAGTAATAGAAGCATCATTGAAGCAACATTAGCTACTGGAAAGACACCATTGTAGCCACATAAGCAACTGATGGCGGACAGTCTACTGCCCATGTTCACGTTAAATTTTAAAGGAAATTCTTAAAAAAATAACAAATTATTTTAAAGGCACTATTTTATTCGAATAAAATATTCAGATTTTTGTTAGAATATTACTTGGGGGGCTTGGCCACCAAAGCAACTGAAAAGAAGGCTGTTGCCAATAACCTTCTTTTCAGTAACTTAGGTCCCCAAGTAATAATAAAAGCTGTGTGCTTCATAATTTGTGGTGCACAGATCTTTTAGTCTATGGTTAACTGGCTTTTCTTGCCCTTAATGGATATCATTTTATAGCATTTAATTTATCTCCCCCCCCCCCTTCCCCTGCCACCGCTTATTTATAACGCTATATCTAAAAATGTAACACTTACTATGTAAGCGTTACATTTTTCAAACATTACATTTACATAACGTTATCTCAGAAAAGAACTTTTTACATATAAAAATTAAATTACTTTTTAATGTAAATTTCGAGAGTAAGTAAAATATTTCGAGAGTAAGTAAAATATTTTGAGAGTAAGTAAAATATTTCGAGAGTAAGTAAAATATTTCAAGAGTAAGTAAAATTACTTTTCAAAGTAAATTACTTTTTAACGACTTACCTGAAAAAGTAATTTATTTTTTCAAGAAAAAGTAAACGTCTTTTAAAGTAATTTATTTTTACTTGTAAAAATAAATTACTTTTTCAAGTAACAGTTACGAATTTAAGTAAATAAATTTATGTAATTAAGTTTTACTTGTAATATAATTTATGTAATAAAAAAAAATTACTTTTAAATGTAAGTGAATTATATATTTTAATATGAGTTATGTAAGTAAAAAACGCTTAATTGTAAATCGTATTTTTACATTAAAATAAGTAAAAGTGCCATCCCTAGTCATCACTAGGAAAACGCTATGTGTTTTTTAAAATGACGGCTACAATTATTAGTGTAATAGTATACTAATGATCTTAAAAAGTGTAATTTTAATAATTAGAAAATATTGTAAAGTTAATGTTGGATAGTTTATAATGAAATTACCTTTGTTAATAAATTGTTTACAATATAACTACTTTGATTCAATTAAAATAAATGGAGATTTTTCAAATCAAATCTCAAACATTTTTCTGATTAGATTTGATTTAAAATATTAAAGCTTCGCAGGGCCCTAGTTTTATTATAATTAAACTAGTTTTATTATAATTAAACCCTAATGTATTGCTGGAAAATACCATGCTTTAAATTCTTATTTGGTCATTAAAAGTTATTAAGTTTGTCAATATTTTAAAAATATTACAAGTCTCGGAAAATATTAAACTTCCTTTTTTCATTTTTAGCTTTTCACACAAAAATCAAACACAAGGGTCAAGACTATACAATTGATCTCGTTGACACAGCTGGTCAAGTAAATTTCTTTTTAGTTTAAGTTGAAGCATTGAAAAATGGGTTGAAATTTTTATGTAATTTAGTTTTTATGTTGTCTTCATGTCATAACCCTAAAACAATTAATTTGGATTAATCTGAAAGTTAGATATGTAGGAGTTAAGTGATGCAAAAATTATGTATGTTTCTTTATTCTAGTTGTTACATTTTTAACTTTATTTTAATATGTAATAAGTTTAATAAGTTTTAATATAATTATATTTAAAAAAATGCACTTTTTTCATTTTTAGTTAATAAACTTTATTTTTTATGCTATTAAGTCCAACTTATATATATACATACATTACAAGTTATTTCTTGATATCCAAGAAAGTTGTTTAAGTATTTTTAAAGTTTTATAAAAATGAACAGGAAAATAAAACCAGAGTTAATTTATTCTGTCCATTTTTTCCAACAGTGCTAATAACAAAATTTTGAAAAAACAGGAAATTATTTCTTTGTTTATACAATATTTCACAACTCTGAGTTTTCAAATTTTTGTTAAGTTGTATTTTTGTTTTACAAGCAAGAGTGATGATTATTTTGTTTAAATTCAGGCCATGTTTTAAAGCGTAAAACAATGCATTTATGTACATGTTAAGGGATCGTCCATAAAGTATGTACGCTCAGAGAGGAAGAAGGGTCTGCACATGGTGTATATGAGATGTGGGGGCATTAGGTCAATTATATGGAGACACTAAATTAAAAAAATATAATAAAATGTTGGGTTCTTAGGTTAAAAGTGTAGGTACTTTTAGGGAGGTAGAGGGTATTCGAAAAAGCGTATGGCAAAAGGAGGGGGAAGGGTGAGGGCAGATAGAAAAAAAGCGTACGTACTTTATGGACGATCCATAAGCAATTTAACATAAGCGGTAAGGCATTTCAGTTGAGTCACTTTTTATTATTTTTTTGATATTTAAACAAGTCTAAAGATATCATTTAAATGGTAAGATAAGAGAAGTAATTATTGTTTTAAAACCACTTATGAAGTTTGAATGTGAAATTATGTAAAAAAAAATTTTGAATGACAATTACATTTGAATTAATCCAAATTTACAAATAAGTTAAGAAAAACCGAAGAAAATTAATATTAACTAAGGGATAAAGAGAAAGTGCTTGGTCAAATCTGGTTTCACAACAAATAAGTAAGTTGATATATAAGTATATGCCCAGGTTATGTATGCAACTATTGGAGTTAATGAAGGAACGATAGCCATCATTAATAAAATCCAAGGATGCTTTAGGAATGTTCTCATTTTCTTCTATAGCAATTTTTTTTCTCTTAAGAGAGCATGCAATGTCATTTGAATTGTGGTTACACCTAAAGTTTATGCTGTCATCGGGCACATACCTAAGATTATTGACAGTCAAGCAGATAAGTATAAAATTTTTAAAGAGGCTTTGAGATTTTGAATGACAGAGCTTCAGAATCATTCGATGGAGATTTATCAGCCAATGGAAAAAAGAGAAAAATATATTTAATATAAACATAGATTTTTTTCCGGAAATTCCCGGAATTCCTGGAAATTCACTTAACACTCCTTTAATTTTCCATAAATTTCCAGATGTTTTTTGTTATTAATTTGAAAAAAAATTTGAAACAAATATGTTCTTTAAATAAAATTTTTACGAGATCAATTTTCGTAAGAATTTTTTCAATTTTTTTTTTAATTCATTCAAATTAGCTTTTTCGAATAATAGAAATTCTATTTTGTAAAAAGTAAAATAATCTAAATTCCATTTTAAAAGTTGACGAAAGTTTTTGTTGTCAGTTAATACAATCAATTTTTAACAAAATAATTTTCTGGGAATTTCCGGGATTTTCATAGAAAAAAATTTCTGGGATTTTCATAAAGTCGAATACTCATTTATGTATAAAAAGCAAATAACTCAACATTAAACTAAAATATATTTACTCAATGAAAAATATATTTTAATATAAAAACTCGTTATCAATAAGATTTGTCTGATTTGTTATTAAAATTTTTTTTTTTTTTTAATTTTACAATTTTTTTATATTCAATATTTTTTGTTAAAATAAAGGAGTGATACATTTTAGTTTTTTGGCACATTGTTGAAAATATGAAAAATGTGACAAAGCTGGTTAAAGTCCTGTTTGTATAACTGCTGGATTACTGTACATAAGAAAAAAATAATATTTAATAATGTTTCTCTTAGACCTATATATTTATCAGCATTTACCGTTGGCATACAGAAAAAGTCCCCTTATACAGCTAGCAAATTTTATTAAATTTTATTAAATTTATTTTTACTATTAATTTTATTAAATTTTGCTTTTTACTTTTTATCTATTTTACTCTTATTGCTTTTTTATATCATAATAATCAATACTCAGCCTGCAATACAATAGCCAGTACATACCAATAGTCTCACTTATTATTAGGTCTAACCAATACAATATGATATACATGTTTCTACCTTCTTCATAATTAGTGTGTTTTTATTTAAGGATGAATACTCAATTATGCCACAATCATATTGTGTAGACAATCACGGATACATATTAGTGTACTCTGTAACATCTAGAAAAAGGTTTGACATTTGTTATAAATTTTATTTATCTTTTTTTTTTAACCACATAATAATTATTTAAAGAAGCAAAAAAAAATGTATTTAAAAACTTGAAAATTTAGTAGTCTGTTTTTTCATAAAATGTTGTTATACATGGAACACTAAAAGAAAGACCAAAATCATAAGAAAGTTTTTTATTTGAACTAATAGAGTACCAGGAGCAAAACTCTCAGTCTGTGTATGTCCATTCTATTGTGCTTATGCATCTATGTATAAACACTTCACTGCATTTATGGCTGTATCAGTTGATTTATGTACAATCTGCTGTATCTATGGTTATATCAGTCATATGTGCAATCTGTCTATATAAACCTAGGTCTATATAAGTTAATGTATGTACACTTTGCCTCACAAGAAAACAAAGTAATAGAAATAATGATAATAATAAATAAGCTATTTATAAAATAACTTGAAATATTTGTCATAAAAATTATTGTTTTTGTGGTTTTTATAAAAGCAATTCTACTTTTATAAAAGCTTCATCTTGAAAAATGAATTATTCTAAAAGTGAATTTGAACAAGAGCTAGAACTTATTTTAGATTCAAAAACTCATTGGAATTCAATGCTGGCCATGATTCAAAGATTTATTAAAGTTAAGAAAGCAGTTGGTAAATCTCTGGTGGATTTCAGTTTAGAAAAACTCATGTTGTCTGATGGTGAGCTTGAAGTAGTTTAAAGTTTAGCAAAAAGTCTTGAGCCGATTGTTTTAGGTTCTTAAATGATTTGTAGAAAGGAAACAACATTATTAACAGCACATTAAAATTTATTGTTACAGAACTTGATGCTCAAGATATTTATCAAATAATCTTAAGATTGCTCTAGTTGAAGAAAAAAAAAGTGATCTTGTTGGTTTATTAAGATTTTTTACATAATCCACAATCTTTTAAAAGTGATATGTATAATAACTTATTTTGCATACCATCTAAAACAGAGATGATAAATATAGCTATTGGCATAACTGGTAGACTTTTCCCCATAATTGAAAATATAGCAAAAGTAGGAGATAATGATAAGTTTAACAATAGTAAGTAATGATAAGTTTAACAATAGTAATGTCAGTTTAGAAAAGTCATCTGAAATTTAGAGTGGCTGAAAGATTAGACACATTTTTGAGAAAAAAAGACAACTTTGTAGTCAGTTGTAATAAATCAACTATGCATCAAGAATTTTATTTGTTTGAAGCAACTAACAAAAGATCATATAATTTAGATATGCTTTATAATTCACTTTTAACTATTCGACCTTCTAGTGTTGAAGCTGAAAGAGTGTTTAGTTCAACAGGCTTATTTTTTACAAAGTTTAGAACTAGATTGTCAGACAGTCATCTGGATACAAACATAGTTTTAAAAACAAAGTGAAAAGAATAATAAAAAAATATACTACTGTGATCAAAAAGTAAGGTGAATTTTTAATTTAAACTTCCCGCCTTATTCGAATCGTCCAATCTTTTTTATTTTTAAGTTGGTAGGAATGTCATTAACATTTGCGCCATATTACATGTCAAACTCATAATTATTTTTTTTTGTTTACACTTGTTTCTGAAGTACCAAAAGTGCATTCGGCGATTTTCACGATGTCTAATTTTGTTGAGCAAAGAAGTGCTATTAAATTTTGTTTGCAGAATGATATTTCTGCTGCTGAAACGTATCGAATGTTGCAAAAGGCCTTCGGTGAAGAGACTATGTCTCAAAAAAATGTTTACAAGTGGTACAAAGACTTCAAAGAAGGCCGAGAACGTGTTGATGACTTGGAACGCTCGGGACGACCATCGACTTTGATTGATGATTACCACATCAACAAAATCAAAGAATTGGTGCTTGCAAATCGTCGGTTAACCATTTGATACCTTGTTGACATGGTTGGAATATCATTTGGGTCGGTGCAAGCGATTTTGAAGGATCATTTGGGCCTCAGAAGACTCAAATCACGTTTGGTGCCGAAATTTCTTAATTTCTTTGAAAAAGAGCGTCGCGTTAAAGCGTGTGAAGCAATGCTTTCTGACTATCAAGACGTCTACAAACAAATTATTACTGGCGATGAGACTTGGGTCTATGCATACGACCCTGAAACAACCAACAAGGTCATGTTGACTGTTTTCTTTGTTGTGGTGTCGTGCACTACGAATTCCTTTCAACTGGCCAAACTGTCAACAAGGAATATTATTTAAGCGTTATGCGACGTTTGCGTGAAGCTATTCGCAAAAAGAGACCAGAATTATGGGCCAATAACTCTTGGATTTTGCACCACGATAATGCGCCTTCCCACACAGCACTGGTTCTTCATGAGTTTTTCGCCAAAAACTCTACCCATGTTGCTCCACAACCACCGTATTCGCCCGACTTAGCACCATGTGACTTCTGGCTGTTCCCAAAGCTCAAGAGACCACTCTGGGGAAATCGTTTTGAGTCCATTGAAGAGATCCAACGTGAATCGGCACGCACATTGAAGGCTATCCCTACCGAGGACTTTTCGGCATGCTTCGAAGACTGGAAAAAACGTTGGCAAAAGTGCATTGGGGCCGGGGGGGATTATTTTGAGGGGGACAATACAGATTTGGAAGAATAAATAAAGATTTTTCATTTTATAAAAAAATTCACCTTACTTTTTGATCACAGTAGTATATATTTGTATTTTATTATGTAAAATGTACTGTAATGTAATAAATGTACTTTCCCGGGATTTTTCCCAGGATCCCGGGAACAACGTAAATAATTCCAGCTATCCCAGGAATGAAAAAAGTCCGAGAAATCGCAATTTTTTTACTTGATTTACTTGATACTTGATTTGACCATGCCCACTAGAGTTTCTATCCCCAAGGGTTAAAAACTCTATTTCTTTGACTGAGGGTTTGGGCAATTTCTATCTGGAATTTTATTATGAAAAATATTTCAATTATTTTTCATAATTTTTTTCTTTTTCTGAATAAAACTGGTTTTAATGATTTCAAAATTTAAAAGTGCAAAATATATTAGGACACTGCCAACCTAAACCTGCAAAAGTAAGTGATATGTTCACTTTAATAAAAATTTTAAAAGTTTAAAAAATTTTTTTTTTTTTTTTTTTTTAGCTAAATAAATTACTTAATTTACTATTGTCAAGTCATTTCATTATCTTTTTAATAGTTTATCCTTTCTTGGTTATGGTTACCTTTTTAATAGTTTCTTGGTTATGGTTATCGTTCATAAGAATTACTAATTTTTGTTTTATTTAGTTTTGATGTTGTAATGGATATAAGAGAGAGATTACTAGATCTAACAGGACAACAAACGTTGGTGTTTTTTTTTTTTTTTTTTTAAATTAAATTTTGTATTATTATTTTTAGGAGGGGAGTTTTATTAAGGGAATATTAGGGAATTGAGTTATATAGGTATAGTTTACTGGGGAATTATTAAATCTAACAGGATAACAAGCAGTAGTATTTTTTTAGTTTATTTTTTTAATTAATTTTTAATTAATGTATTACAAAATGTAATAACCTTTAGCATTTAATTGTCTACCGTATAACATGTTTGTATTTTACTAAACCTACTGTATAACATGTTTATATTTTACTAGGTTACCAATTTTGTTAGTTGGAAACAAGACTGATTTGCACATGGAAAGGTAATTAGTTTATTTTAGATCAATTTTTAACATCATAAATAGAAATTAAACTTTTATCTTAAAATGATTTTTCTATAGTTTGACTGATGCCGTTGATTAAAGTTAGATGAAATTTATTATTGTTGTTGCATGTTTTGATTAAATTTGTTACATATAATTATTTGTTTCAATAAAAAAAAAGTTCATTTTTATAGTTAAAAGCAATCCTTGTTTCCCATTCACTAAATTTGTTTGAAATCAGCTTATATAATAAGGGAGACTATAACTCTCTGTATATAAAAAAAACCCTTACATTCTTTTTTTTTTTTTTTAAGAGGAGATCTTGGTGTTCTTCTCAGACCTAACATTTTTGATGGGTCCTATATAAATACATTTTTTCCTAATTATATTAACCTGGTACTCAAAATAAGCAAAATATAATAATAGCTTTGAAAATATTAATTATATTATATAAAAAACATGATAAATTAGAAATGTATAACAAAAACATAAGTTTAAAAAACCACAACAAAAACATAATATATTAGAAATAGAAATAAAGTTTATAATGATATAGTAATTTAAGTAATTTAACTAAAAAAAAGAGATTTTTTTTTCTGACATTTTTTAATAAAAAATTAAAAATGCTTTAAATAAAAACTTTAATAATTTCTTGTATAATAAGATATTTTATGTATATAATACACCTAATTAAACAAAAATCTATTTAAAAAACAAATTTATTAAGTTCCAAATTAATCATAATATGAAATGTAAATGTTGGGTAAATGAAAGTTGTAAAAGTTAATATTATTAGATTTAATCAAAATGTATTTTTTTAAAGATACAAACCTCTAGAGTTGTTAACAAGGCCAGAAATAGCAAGACCAAGGTCAAGGTCAAGGCCACATGTTACAAGGCCAAGAGTTTAAAGGTCAAGGCCAAGAATAAGAGTTTCAAGGCCAGGTAGGTAGTTTTCAAGGTAGGTAGCAAGTGCTGTGGCAATAAAAACCACATCTTGTAGAAATAGACCAAGTTTATGCTCAGAATGCAACCAAGTTAATAATAAAATATACTTGTAGATATATATGAAAGCCGAAATCAGAAATGCATAAAAATAAAGAATGAAAACTTTTAGTTCTTTAATTTTATGTATTTTTTTTTGAAGGCCAAGACCAATACATTCGAGGCCAAGGCCAAAACTTTCAAGGCCAACAGTTTCAGGCCTTAATTTTTGGCCTTAAGCAAGGGTGAGGCCAAGGCCAAGGACTAAGAACTCTGCAAAACTCCAATAAATAATAAAATGAAATAAAAAAAAGTAGTGACACAAAGGTCAAAATATTGAATACTAGCAGTAATCTTACAATTATGACCATGTCATTGACTGAGAATTTTTTCAGCAAAATGTTTTTTTCTAAAGCATTAATTAACTGTACGCAGTGCAGCAACTTTTAAATGTGCATTTTTTTTTTATTATTGCTAGGGTGGTATCTTCAGAAGAAGGAAGTATTTTAGCAAAAAAGTGGAAAGCTGGGTTTTTAGAATCGTCAGCTAAAGAAAATAAAGTAAAAACCTTTTTTGTATTATTAACTTAAACATTTATAACTCTTAGAGATAAACATTAATAACTCTTAGAGATAAACATTAATAACTCTTAGAGATAAACATTAATAACCCTTAGAGATAAATATTAATAACCCTTAGAAAAATAACAATAGCATATGAACCATATCATATTAATTTCCCTTAAATTTGTTTTGAATATTTTGTAAACATTTTCAAGACAAATTTTTATATTTGTTTGCTCATTTAATTTCAATAGGTATACAGCTAAAACTATGTAAAGTAACATAAGTGATTTAAATTTTTTGAAAGTGAAAAGTGATTTATTGATTTTTATATTGAGACTCATGCACAGTGGCTAAGATCTAAGGTTACACCCTGTAAAGCTATATTGTCAAGTACAATGTAGTTATTGCTGCTGTACAAGTACAATGTAGCTATTGCTGTTGTACAGGTACAATGTATCTATTGGTACATTGTACTTGTACAACAATTTCATCACAAAACAATTTACATGGTTAAAAAAAAGGTTTTCAATCACGTTAATTGTTTTGTGTTTAGACTCATGCACAATGAGTAAGCATTAAGGTTACACCCTGTAAAGCTATAATGTCAAGTACAATGTAGGTATTTCTGTTGTACAAGTACAAATTCAGTTGCTCAAGCATTTTGTCTGAGTGGATTCTAATTTAACAAATCAGTCAACTTTATATTTAAGTATACTTCAGCCATCATATATGCTATATAGACCATTAGCATATTTAAAATTTTTTTAAATCGTTTTTGCTAAATCCAATTTAAAAACTTTTACATTTACTCAGAAAAGAAAGGTTTTAATCATTTGAGACAATATGTTATAAGAAAAAATAGTTTTTTTGTAATACATCAAATTATATAGAAACAATTTTTTTTTGTAATACATTAAAGTATATTACATATTTAATATATTATAAACAGTGCAATGATGGCTTCCAAGATTTTCGGCTTTTCAGTCTGGTAGTAATATTAATATTTTGTTAAATAGTGAAATGTTTTTTAAATGATTGTTGATAATATTTTTGCAATTTTTGTTTTATTTTAGACTGTGCAACTCGTGTTTCACACTATAATAGATGAAATAGAGAAATTACAAAATGGAGCTACCCCTAGTAAAGGAAGCTGCATAATTTCATGAGAATTCTCTGAAAATTACTTTTAAGCTTATTTCTATGTATAAATACAAGGAGAACATAACTTATTAAGGATATTGTTCAAAATTCTTTTTTTCTTTTTTCTTCTTTTTTTGTTTGTTTTTTGTATATAAATTTATCAATTCTTATTCGATAAGTTACTTTTTACTTAAATATTGTAAGATAAAATTTTTTGAGTAGTGTTTATAAATTTAAAGTGTTAAAGAAAAAATATTTTGGAAAAAAAAACTTATGGGTTTTGTATACAAGTATGAAATCTTATGTGTATTGGTGTAATTGAATGCTGTGTATTTATTTACTGTGTATTTGAGTGAGTGTTTATATTTCCTTTTTTTGTTGTTGAAGTTTAAACTTTTTTTTTTTTTAAATTTTCTGAATATATTATTTATATTGAAAAAAATAATAATAAAAGTTTTTCATTTTTCTTCGTGTATTTGTTTGTTGTTTTAAAAAGTTTTAAATAAAAGACTGAAGAAAATCAATATAAAAAATATTTTTTCAAATATTTATATCTGCAGTATTTTTCTTTTTTTAAAACATTTTCACTTCCAACAAGGCTGCAACCAACCACCATTTGAGTTGGAAGTTAATGAGAAAGAAAAGCAAAATATAAGCAAAAAAAGTAATGATCTTAGGAATGTTATAGTAGTACCATGTGAAACTTTTTCTCTGTAAAACAGCTTTATCTACCATTTTTATTTCAGTATAAGAAAAGTGAAAGAGAGGGGGGGGGGGAGAGTGATTGTGTAGGATAATGCATAATGTTGTTTCACGGTTATGGTAGAAAAAATATATATGTGTAAATATATATATATATATATATATATATATATATATATATATATATATATATATATATATATATATATATATATATATATTTATATTTATATTTATATATATATATATATATATATATATATATATATATATATATATATATATATATATATATATATATATATATATATATATATATATATATATATATATATATATATATATATATATACACACACACACACACACTTTGTGGAGAAAAAAATATATATCTGTATATTTTTAAGTATAACTATATGTGCATAAACGATCTATTCAGAATTTTATAGACTTTTTCAATTGATTTGAAAGCAAACTAGACCTGTTTTGTTGAAACAATGCTGCATTTATCAAGAAATTTTTTACTGGTAAACTTTTTATTTTTATAACTATTTACATAATATATATAAGTACACACACACACACACACACACACACACACACACACACACACACACACACACACACACACACACACACACACACACACACACACACAGAGTAGGGATGTAATTGAAGTGTAATAGAGGTTAAAAATTTACCTTATTCCTTATTGTATATTATTTACAAATCATAATATAGCAAAATACACATATATTAACGATGTTAAGGAGCTTTGACTCTTGCTCAAAAGGTCAGAAGTTTCAATAGACGTCTTCACAGTTCCGATAATTTCATGTGCGCACATATTTAATATTATGTAATGGTACTTTATGCACAGAATCGCATGAAAACAAATACTCATATAAATTAAGATAGTAACCTTGAAAGAAACAGTTGCTTACATGATATTTTTTTTATTTTTTTTTTCAAAAGACATTGATTTAGCTTAATATAAGTTTATTTTACCCATTTTAAGTTTAAAATCTATACTGTTTAAATGTTTTTATTATATAATATTTGTAAACAAGGAAAAAAACAAATTTGTACATTGAGTGTAAAAGTATTTAATGTTGATTAATAAAAGTTTCTTTTTTATTAATCAATATTAAATGCTTTCGGGAAAGAAGATTTTTAAATAGTAATATATATATATATATATATATATATATATATATATATATATATATATATATATATATATATATATATATATATATATATATATATATATATATATATATATATATACATATATATATATATATATATATATATATACACTCTCACACACATATATGTATATACACATACACATATATGTATATATATATATTATATTTATATTATATATATACACACAAACACAACTATCAATGCACATTTCGAAATGTGTGAAATACAAAAGATAAAGAGTATTATTTAAGAGCTTTTATTTCTTTCATATATATCCTATAAAACAAACATATAAAAAGTATAAATACATAAATAATATAAATTTAGCCTTAAAATAGTTAAAATAAAGTTAAATAATTCAAAATTGATATTTTTGTTATAAATAAAAGTAAAGAAATCTCATGTAAACAACTGTTTCTTTCAAGAATGCTTTTATAATATATTTGTGTATTTACTTTCTTTCATGCGATTCTTCCCACAAGGAACAATGATGTACTGTTAAATGTTAGCGCGCACTAAATTATTAGAACTGTGAAGAGGTCTATTGATCTCCCTTCTATAATTTTCAATCGGAAGTTATAACAAAGATCTAAATTAAGAATGCAGTGCATTCTATCATTCTTATAACTTGATTTAGTGATAGTTTAAAACAATTTTGCTTTAGTATTAATAAGTTTAGCTAAAACATTTATTAGAAGTTGTTTACAACTTGGAAATTAAAAAAACTTAGTTTAACTTTGTGTTCCGATGCATCTCTTTTACACCTTCGATAAACCCCTAATATATAAATATAAATACAAAACATATTATTTTTTTTTAGAAAGAAAAAATATTATATCGATCTCTTCACAAAGCATCATTACAGGAAGAATGGATTGGTATTGCTAAAAAAGAGCTTAAAGGAGTAGACCCGATAGAAAAGTTGACGTGGAAAACACCAGAGGTATTTATTTTTATATATTTTGAAAGGAGAAAAATAAATTTTTGTTTTGTTTTGTCTTTTCTTTTTGTTCTACATATTTTATTATAAAAGTATAAAAATTATTTTGGAGAAAAAAGGGGGAAACGACTAAGAATTTTTAAAATAACTTAAAAAAATTCATTTTTTGCACTAAAAACACCATAAATTTTTATTAAGGTAAGTAAGCTACTGAGTTTTCTTTTTTAAGAATTTCTTTTATTATTTATTATGTGGTTTTTCTAATATATTGTCTTGAAAATTGCCTAATATCTTTAGCTATTATAAATTCCTAATATCCTATTCCTAATAGTTATAAATATTTTTAATATCAATAAATAGTCTTTCATAATAGTCTTATGTTATTGTTTACCAAATTGATATACCAAATATTTATTTATATTAAGTAATAAAGTTTATTAAAAAACTGAATAATAATACAATGAAGCATTTAAAAATAAATTTCAAACTAAAAATCACAAAATAAATTAACCAAGTATTTGAAATATTTGAAATATTGAAAAATTACAAACATTAATATTGTTTTTTTTCTAAGAATTATTTTTATTATTATGTTGTTTTTCAATATTATTATCTTGTAAATTGCATAATACATTTAGCTATTATAAATTACTAACTTACAAACAAATTAATATTGTTTTAGATGATATTATTGTTGACAAACATAAATGGTTTTAAAATTGCACATTAAATGTTTTATTCATTTTATAACATTTAATTCACTTGTTGATATTTTTCTATTACATTACATGTAATAAAGATCAAAAACAAATAAACTAAATATTATAATATGAATAAAATGTTTAATGTGTAATTTTAAAAGCAGTTATGTTTGTATTAATAGTTAATATCTAAAACGCTTTAATTAAATAAAGTTGATAAATTATTATCTATTATATTTACTAATAAAAACAAAAATACACAGAACTATCATAACACTAAACAGTTTAACTGTAAAAAAAAAGTTTATTTTGTAATGCGACTAAATTTAATATTAATAAAAGTTAAATATTTTTCAAATTTGCTTAAAACTGAGAAATGCAGAAACAAAGCAATCAAATGGTTTGTAAAAACTTTATCATCTAGTAATAATTTATTTATTCATTTAGGGTATCAATTTGAAACCAGTTTATACCAGGGATGATATAAAAGATGTTGCTGATGAAATGCCTGGTGTTTATCCATTTACGCGTGGTCCACATGCAACAATGTATACATTTAGGCCTTGGACTATAAGACAAGTATTTTTCTGACTAATAGTTATAATTTATAATAATAAATTAACTGATAAACATAACATGTATTTTTTCAAGTAGTTTTTTATTATTATTTTGTATATTTTAGTTTTTTAATTGTAAAATAGTTATTAAAGTGTTAAATTGTTTTATGTAAAGCTTGGAGTAAAGTAAATAATGTTTATTTTTGTTAAAGTATGCAGGTTTCAGCACAGTGGAAGAAAGTAATCGATTTTACAAAAAAAACATAGCTGCCGGTCAGCAAGGGCTTAGTGTAGCATTTGATTTGCCTACACACAGAGGGTAAGAAGATATTTATTCTACTATATTTGAGAGGGCTTTTTTGTTTGTAGATTCTCTTTTCCTTTTTATATAATATAAGTGAAGGTTTTTATATAATATAAAATTATATAAAAACGTTTTTTTTTATATAATATGAAATTATATAAAAACCTTTATATATAATATAAAAAAGTTTTAATTAAGTGTCAAAATTAATTATTTTATTTTATATTATAAAACCATAGTTTATATGCAATATAGTCTTTAATAATAATCTGTATATAAAATAATTAATGTTTAATATGATTTATAATAATATTTAATTGATAATATTAGGGACCTGTCTGATGTTTAATGGCCTTGGGCTGCCCCTAAAAATAATTTTAACCCAAATTTAAATCAAGCTTGACAGATGAAGCAGGTCCGACTACATTTACAATGCATTTTTGGACCTTGTCTATTAGAGTAAGAGCATCATTAGAAGAGCCAACCCAAATATGACAATATTATTCCATACAGACATAATTAAAAATAATTAAAATATTAAACATAATTGAAATTTTTTTTTGATGTAACTCAATTAGATCTCATGCTGCTGAATGAAGATAGTATGTTAGAAATGATTGAAATCCATATTGATTGTTAGAGAGGTTATTAGACTGAAGATAGTATGTTAGAAATGTGTTCATCAAAAAGACTTTGCTGTTTTAAAAATTGGCACCACAGATGCCATTTTCCAGCAAGCAAGAAAACAAGATTCAATCAATGTTTAAGCTTTGTTAATGACGCTTTTTAAAATTTCCCAAGAGTCTCTAGAAACTAACTTCAAACCTAATTTCTCAACAAATAAGTGTGTAATTATATGCCCAGTATAAGCATGTGACTATTGGAATCTTTACTAAAGAACAGATAATACCCATTAATACTGAGATTGAAAAAAGAAACAGTCGAATTCAAATTAGTCTCACTAAAAGCAAGTAAATTTTGAGTTTATATATATATATATATATATATATATATATATATATATATATATATATATATATATATATATATATATATATATATATATATATATATATATATATATATATATATATATATATATATATATATATATATTATTTTAAAACATCAAGAAATACAGTTTCTCTCAATACTAATAATTTTATTTTGTAAGAAATTTTCGCTGGGTTATGGATACCAGCATCATCAGCTTGTGAAATATTACAATAATTTTTTAATGGTTATAGTTTATATAAAACATAGTTTTTACATATTGGCCTTCATCAAGATTAATTCCGCCGTTTTGTGCCGAGCACATGTTGTTTTGTATTTCTAGTGCCTCTCTAATTTTTCTTTCAAACTTTTTATTTTCTACTTTAAATGTGATTTGAATGCGGTTTAATTTGAATGTTAGTGATTGCCTCTTTTCGATATACTTTGTACTCATATTTTCCTAGTGTGTTATTTGTAATGGTTATATCAAGAAAGTTAAGTGTTTTTGTCTCTTTTTCAACTTCAATTGTGTATTGTATTGCAGGATATTGTTGATTTAAAATATCTTGGAACTGTTTTGCTTGTTCGGTGTTAGGAAATCTTGCATGAATGTCGTCAACGTATCTTAAAAATGATTTTAGATTAAGTGCAGGATTCATTGTCAAAACCATTTTAATTGCATTATTTTCATGGAATTGTAGAAAAGACTCCGCGAGAACAACCATGAAAGAAAGTCCGATTGATCCTGAGTTTTCCATTATGTGAATCTCATTGTTCCAATAAAAATAACATTGATATAAGCAAAGTTCTATGAGTTGTTTTATTTCAGGTATACTTAGTTTTGTTAAGTTTTTATATGATGAAACTGTTATTTAATTGTTCTAAAAGTATAGCGGTGGCTTCTTTTAACAGAATTGACAGGTACAGATTTACAACATCATAAGACACTTGAATATCATTGTTAGCAACATTCCAATTTAAAAAAATTATTGTAAAATTATTGTAATATTTTACAATCTGATGATGCTGGTATCCATAACCCAGCGAAAATTTCTTACAAAATAAAATTATTAGTATTGAGAGAAACTGTATTTCTTGATGTTTTAAAATAATATATAATATACTCTCATACAAGATGTCATCTTTCAAATATATATATATATATATATATATATATATATATATATATATATATATATATATATATATATATATATATATATATATATATATATATATATATATATATATATATGTTTATACATATATATATATATATATATATATATATATATATATATATATATATATATATATATATATATATATATCAGTCTTTCACAGGAAGATCGCACGTCTTTTTATGACCACGCAAATAGTAATTTGTTCTGGCAATTTGACCATGGTTTCTGATATATTTTCAAAATTTAAAAATGTGCTACGAAACTTACTTAAACTTATCTAAAAAAAAAACTTATCTATTAAAAAAACCATATAACATAGAAACAAGATTGTCAATTTTTTGGCGACCTCAAATACTTTCAGGTCGTCAATTAGGTCAGCATTGCCAAATGCCGACCTTAATTCTGAGGGTTGTATATATAACCCAACTAAAACAAAACTCATGAAACTAAAATGCTTTAGTCTATTTAATTTAAGAATTGAAAAACCTTTTCATTATTTCTTTTTTGTTTTTTTTTATATTATCGAAAAACATTGTTTGATCTTAAATGCTTTTATATTATCGAAAAACATTTCGATAATATAAAAGCATTTAAGATCAAACTTATTTAATTCTAACGGCTTTCTAAAACATTTTCCTTTTTTTTTTCAACAAAATTTTATTTATCTTCAGATGTATTATCTTTAATTATTCTTATATTAAAATTCGTTATAGAGACTTTCGTTGTCGTAGAATGCCATTTATTATAAAAACAAAACAATTTTTTATTTTTTAATAACGTTTTTTATAAAAAATGCACATTTAAACAATTTATATATTATAAATTAAAAAAATATATACAACTGTCAATTGAACTTTAAAAAAAAAAACATCAGAGAATTGTTACTTTATTTAAAAGCATTTTGCTAATATAAAAACATTTGTTAAATGTTTTGACTTAATTCATTTCACTTAAGGTATAATTCAGAACATTTTTTATTCAGTGCGTTTTTAAAATGTTTTTTGAAATAGCTGCGGTCAAATCATCAAAGCAAAATATATTTTGCCTGGTCATATAAAGACAAGCGATTGCATATCTTCCTGTGAAAGACTGATATATATATATATATATATATATATATATATATATATATATATATATATATATATATATATATATATATATATATATATATATATATATATATATATATTAGTGATGTACCGATATCACTTTTTTGGCCGATACCGATACCGATGAATTAACTAATTATTAAAAATTTGAAAATATAAACAACTTAAAATTTTTTTGAAAGAAAACTTCCAAAAAAATAAATACAATTTTAGAAGAATGCTTTTTATTTTGATTTTAAAAAAAGAAAATAGTACTACCATATGCAGTTTACTTAGAATTCTTTATTAATTTATTAGTAATTTAGATATCTAAACAACAATCATGTTGTTTAGACATAAATTATTTTTAGATAAATAAATTATTTTAGAATTATTTTATTTTGTGATGTTTGATCCCCACCACATCCCTGGTAGTACAGCGCTTAACTTGTTTCTATACGCAACGACATTGTTCATCAAGGTTTGTGTTTCCAAGTTATAAAGTTGAGAGTGGGTTGTAACCATAACTAAAGAAGCCTCCTCAATTGAAGTGGTCTTTGTGGCCATAGGAAGGTGAATTGAAATAAAAAAATTAAAAATATAGAAATATACTTGTTACTTGGCTATACATGAAATATAGCTGAACTATTTGCAAAGAAATTCTCTTCTAATCCGACTCTCAAACCTTATGGCCATTCTCTTCTTTCCATTCTAGTTAAACAGGTTAATGCAATGTTAGACATTCAAATCACTTCAGCTTCCATTGCTCATAGTCTTATCTCAATTAAACTCTTCTACGGCTTGTGGTCCAGACAACATTCCTGTCTGTCTTACCAAATTGTTCTCCAGAACTCTCCACTTTTCTCTAATCTATTTAATAAATGTTTGACTTAATCTTGTTTTCTTGCCTGCTGGAAAATGACATGTGTTGTTCTAATTTTTAAAAGCTCTGGTAAACATACTGACCTCTCCTATTATTGTCCAATCAGTCTTCTTTCTGTTGTTAACTAGGTCTTTGAGTCTTTGATGAACAAATTTCTCATATTCCATCTTGAGTCAAATAACTTGCTGTCAGACAATAAATACGTATTTCGATCCTCTCGCTCTATGGCTAACTAGCTAACTGCTGTGACTGAAAATTTTATTGCGCATTAGATGGGGGCGGAGAGGCTAGGGCTATTGCTCTTAACATATCTTAGGCTTTCGACAAAGTTTGACATGTTGGTCTTCTTCATAAGCTTGTTTCATATGGTGTATCTGGGAAATTTTTAAGATAATCAAATCAATTCTTTCTAAATGCTTTATTAAAGTCATCCTCGAAGGTCAACACTTTTCTTTATTTCCAGTAACTTCTGGGGTACCTCAAGGTTTTATCCTTGGCCCTGTTTTGTTACTTATTTACATTAATGATCTTCCTGACGACCTCAAATCTAAGGTAGCTCTTTTTGCTGATGATTCAATACTCATGTCTTGACAAAAATTCTTCACTTTTTTGCTTAGAACAGACAGGCCATCTTGTGGCTTGTAAATTTAAACTCCAACAAAACTCAGTTATTTACTGCAAATAACTATTGCAGTACTGTCAACATTCCTATATTGATAAATGGCAATGTAAAGTTGCATCTCTTTCTCTTTTTTACAAAAACTCATAGTTGCTGCTCAAAGGAGATTTCATCTTTAGTTTTATAGTTAATATTAAAATGCCATCGTTTGGAAAATTGGTAAAAAAAGGCCAATATCGATTTCTGTTGTGCAAAAAGTGGCCAATTAAGCCAATGCTGATGCCAATTAATTGGTACATCACTAATATATATATATATATATATATATATATATATATATATATATATATATATATATATATATATATATATATATATATATATATATCTGTGTGTGTGTGTGTGTGTGAATCAAGAGTTTGTTGTGATTGAACTTGACAAGGTATAATGTCAAGCTCAATCTCTACTATTGATTCAATTTTAGAAACTTTATATGGATAGTATTAATTCTGCTGTTCAAGTAAGAAAAATCTGTGATTGACATTATTTTACATTAATATATTTAATTTGCTGTTAAACACTGAATTTAAATCAGTAGCCTGAATAGATCTGCATATTTGGACTAAAAACAGGACATAAGGAGATAAAAGAAATTTTAAATTCACTGAATTTATAATGAGCATGTCTCGCTTAAATTAGTTTTCTTGTCTCATCTTGTCTTGTTTTAATCGTTTTTCGGTATTTTGAAGGTTCACCCTTTAAAGTTATACCCACCAGACAAGGGGAAAAAATTTATAATTTTTGCCATTAATGATTCAAATTTTACCATATATGAACAGAATGAGGTTTTGAGTAGCACCATTTATTGTTATCTAAGTAAATTAAAAGTGGTTTGCCATAAATCAATCAATGGAGCTGATGTCAGAGTTGTAATAAATGGTAGTAGTGAATGGAACTGATTTCAAAGTTGTAGTAAATGGAGCTGATGTCAGAGTTGTAGTAAATGGTAGTAGTGAATGGAGCTGATGTCAGAGTTGAAGATGATGAAGACCTAGTTCTCTCTAATCAGTTCACTCAACAATTAAAAACATAACATTTATCTAAATATAAGGCATCTAAGTACAAGAGAGAAAGCATAACCCAGTTTTAAAATCTAGATTTCTAAGTAACATAATTGTAACATAATTACACAACCAATTTTCAATTTTAAACAATGAGGAGGCATACCTGAAGTAGATAAGCTGTTCAAAAACTCAAGAGAAAAGTTATTTTTTTCATTAAGGTTATTAGATATTAATGAAAGAAATAATACTCAAGCATTTCTTCATTGATTGGTAATGAAACTACATTAATGGGTGTTAAAACTACATTAGTGGGTGTTAAAACTACATTAATGGGTGTTGAAACTATATTAACAGCTTTAGAAAAAAATTAATAAACAAAAGTTACATGTATTTTTTTTGAAAGGTTTTTCAAGTTTGTATTGATAAGTTGCCACACGGAGGAGCAGGAAGTTCAATAACTTGTAACATCTACAGGGATGTTAATATACATATTAAGTGAAAAATACTTTATTGATCAATATTTTTTTAAACTTTTTTAAAATTTAAAAAAGGGTTATTTTTACATTTCAATGCTTATAGTGGGTTTCACAAACACGCATTAATATGAATTTGTATATAAAATCTGTAGCAAAAAAAATAAATCTGTATAACAAAATGTTACAAAAAAATTCAAAAATGTATATGTTTGTGACTTCAGTTTGTTTTGCATAAAATAAAACTTTTATGTAGAAGTTATTAATATAAAAAGCAAATAGTTTTAAATGATGTTTAATATAATATAAGGTTTGTAATTCAAAATAAATTTTATATTGTGTGACTCATTTTATGATAAGGTCGAATCTTTAATAATAATGTTGTAGTTTTATCTTTCTAAGCTCATAATTTTCATTTATATAGATATGACTCAGATAACCCTCGTGTGCATGGTGATGTTGGAATGGCAGGAGTAGCTGTAGACAGTGTTAATGACATGAAGGTGTGTACATATTTAAAATAATTAAAATTATTTTCTTACGTGATTTAAAAAAGACATATCTAAGAATATTTATATATTAAAAAGTATTATTCTGATAAATAATTATAACTTAAGAATGAACAAGAAATTTGGACAGTTGTATAATAACAGAACTACAATATACTACTTAGAACAAATGAAATTTTAGCAAAATATACTTTATGCTATGTTTTGCTAATAAATAACTTTTTAGGTTTATAGAAGTAGTTTAATTTAGTGTTTATTTGTTCAAAAATTGTATAATAACAGATTATGATAACAGAATTGTAATAAAAGAAGATTATGTGTTAAGGTAGGGTGAAAATTACTTTTTTTGAAAATTTCTCCTGTTACCCCCATAGGTATGTTCTATATAATAAAATAGCAATGGATATAAAAAATTATTGATTAAAACATATTTTTAAATGTTCCAACTGACCCATGAATATTTAATGAGTCCCTAACATTATACAAAAAGTTTCTTCAAAAGTATGTCAACCTAGTACTCAAAAGAAGGGAAGTTTTATAAAGGCTTCATAAATTGTAATCTTATTTTATAAAAACTTTATTAAAGTTTAAAAAAAATTATAAAATAAAATCATAGAAACTTTTTTTAATGTCAATAGGCAATAGTTTTTATGCAACAAAATCTAAAATAATGATATTTTTATAAAATGATTACTTTTTAAATTTTTATGAAATTTCACGAGTACTATTAGGACTTGTTAAATATTCATGGTTTTGTTGAGTCCCCTAAAATATTATTTATTCATAAGTTTTTTAAATCCAGTGTTATTATATAGATCAAATCTAAGGGTGTAAAAAGAGAAATTTTTTAAAAAAGTAATTTTAACCCCACCCTATCATGCATCAATAACTTGACCATTTACAAAGCATGAAAAACAAAACCATGGTTATTGCTATTTTTAGAATTGAATTTGAAAAAAAGGTTTAAATGAAGTTGCAACTATTCCTGACATATATAGTTTCTGTTCCCCGCAATATATTTAATTATGTTTTTGGAAACTTGTGGTTTGCTTCCAATTGCAACTAAATTATGATTATATAAAAAAATCCCTTTTTTTTTTACAAGTAACATGTAAAACCTCATCATCGCTGCAGCACAAAACAAAACAATTTTCACAAAAGCAATAATTTTTAACAAAAGTTAAAAAAATTATAGCTTTTGCAAATGAATAAAGCAAAATAGGTTTAGGATTTAAGTGTTAAATAGATCTTGAATATGTAAAAAAAGTTTAAAATAACCTTTACTTGTTACTTAAGTTAGTGCAAATAAAAATTGGATTTATATAAAGGACATAAAATGCAGACAAAACCATAAGCTCTTAGTTTTTAATGTCTGGTTCAGAAGAAGAAACTTCATTAATTTAGAGCCATAAAACGAATGTTACTTGGGTTTAAAAAATACACATTTAGTAGAACAGTACTGTTTATGATTATTGATAAGACCTAAGAGTTGCCTTGATTTGACAAACAGATCTGTGAATTTCCATCTTTGTCTACATGTTGTGATCTGCACAATGAAGTTTAAAAATTTTTATCATATTGAAAAATAATCATTGAGTTATAGAATCATTAAAATGTAACAAATAATTAAAAAAAAGTCATACAAGGGGCAATGACTTCATTTTAAAACAGTCTAGTTTCTGCTAATTGTATATTCTTAACAACTTTATGAATTTTTGGAAACTAGCTCTGCACAATCGCTTCAATTTTTTGTTGGCCAACTTCTTCATGCTGTTTAAGGTATTTTAATTATTTTATTGTAATAAACCATGTCAAATGCCTATATCAACTGATCTTAATTAAAAAATAAGAGGTTATTAAATAGTTAAAATAACTTACTGATTGTTGTTCACTGCCTTAATCAGACTGCTTTGAGCAGCTAAAATAATTTAACACACAACTTATAAAGAGAAAATGGATTGTAACAAATCAAACTTTTTTTTATTAAATTAGACACATAGCAAGACAGTTTCCTATGTGTCTTTATTTAAGCTTTTATGAGTTAACTTTTGCTTGTAATTTTTTTCTGCAATCTTTTGTATAAAGTTTTATATTTTGCCACTGATCTGTATTTGTAGAAGCTTTCATGTAGTCTTTTATTAATTTTTTTTTTAGCACAGTCATTTATAGTTGAGAGATATTTGATAAATATTTTGATAACTCTCATTACTCTCTTGGGATTTCGCTCTGCCATAAACCCATTGTTCAACTTTGAAACACCCATAATTTCAAAATGGTACCAGAATTTAATCTGGAATGCAGAAGTAGGAAATTTATATAGGTTGTTAATCATTTTAATGTTTTCACTGTCTTTGATGTCATTCTCTTTAATTGCAAACATAACAAACTGAGGAGTTAGGTACCAAGAGTGTTATTTTAAACTCTTTGTTAATGTTTGTCCTAACTAGACATCAACTGTTGTATTTTACAAGAGCAAGCACTGGTGCAATCAAGGTGCTCTTGATTGAGAGTTTTTTAAAAACCATGATTCATAAAAAATGGCAGTACTAAAACTTTATTTTCTTCAACATTAAATTTTATGTTCTATTTTAAAATTAGTCCTTTATTTTTTCAGGCTCTTTTTGATGGTATTGCACTGGACAAGATGAGTGTTTCAATGACAATGAATGGAGCAGTGTTACCGATTCTTGCTATGTATATTGTAGCAGCAGAAGAACAGGTAATTTAATATTATGAAATAAATTGTTATTCAAAACTAAATGTAATAAATTGTTATTCAAACAAGGTAACAATGTTTTAAAAGTTATTTAATATTTTATTTTAGGGAGTGTCACAGGAAAAACTTTCTGGCACAATTCAAAATGACATTTTGAAAGAGTTCATGGTCAGAAATACTTACATATATCCTCCGGAACACTCAATGAAAATTATTGGAGATATCTTTTCATATACTGCTAAAGTACAAATGTTATTTTTTTGTTATCTTGTGTTAATATTTTGGTTTTTAAATATTAACTTACAGGAAAAAAAAATCAGGCTAAATTTTAGTTTCAAATCAACAAGTTGTTTTATAAGTTCATAACGTTTTTGAAATGATGATATTAGCTTTATAATATTTTTGATTTGAAGTTTGTTAAATTAAAATTTTTTACCGAAAATTAATTGTACATGCTAAAAACTTTTTTTTTTAAATCTTTTTTTAGCATATGCCTAAGTACAACAGTATTTCAATATCTGGATACCACATGCAAGAAGCTGGCGCAGATGCAGTTTTAGAAGCTGCATTCACAATTGCTGATGGCATAGAGTATTGTAAAACAGGTAATTATTTAAGCTTTTAATGTATGTATTAAAGCAAAAAGATATATTTTTTTCCACATAAGATTGTGTTTTGGTTAGTGAAAGGAGAGATAGTGTTTGTAGGAAAAAAATAGGCCTTGAAATAATTCGACAAAGACTCGAGCTAGGCAGCTCCAACAACATTTGCAATGTATTTTTGTATCTTTTCTAAAAGAAAAAAGGTGTCATTAGACGAACCAGCCCAAACATGATAACAGAACCTGTTTTTTGAAAAGTCAATTTTCCTTTTTAGATCATTGTCCTGAAAAAATGTAGTTGTTTGTCTCCAACTTGAATATCAAAAAAGCTTATATATCCAGTTGCACAAAGTTGCTTTAATTGTAATATTTTCATGTCATATTTAATTAAGCAAACTTCTTCAAACTACGCAATGTTAAATTTAAAATAATAAACAAAGCAAGAGTTTCATTCATTGAATCATAATTAAAGATACTTTTACTGTATTTGACTAAATAGTAAATTTTTTTTTTTAATTTAACTTTAACAAAACATTTTTATCTACTAAAATGTTTTTAAACATGAATTACCACCTAAGTAAGGAAAGCAAGGAACTGAATAACTGAAAGCAAGGAATTGAACTGAATAAGGAAAGCAAGGAATAATTATCATTTTGAACATTTGTGTTGAAATTAAATATTGGTAGCTGATATATCTCAATTAATAATTACTTTACAATTAGCTTATAGGTATTTGTTTATGGATACATAAATAACTTTTACCAGTAAAAAAAGCGGTCATCTAATGCAGAAATGTATTTTTAGAAGTTATTTATAAATGTTATTTAAAATTAAGGTGGTCATTTTGTATAAACAAGCATTTTTTGTATAAATAAGCATTGTTGTTCTTAGAATGATTGGAACAATTGTTTGCAAAAGTTATTTAAATATGTACTATTTTAAGGTATAAGATCTGGTCTGGATATTGACAGCTTTGCTCCACGGCTTTCATTTTTTTGGGGTGTTGGCATGAACTTTTATATGGAAATTGCTAAATTTCGAGCTGCTCGCAAATTATGGGCAAATTTAATTCAAGAAAAATTTCACCCCAAGAGTAGTAAATCGCTGTTGCTAAGAACACATTCTCAAACCTCAGGATGGTCTCTAACAGAACAAGTATTTTTTTTTTAATGCTTTAAAATTATATTTATTATGTCATGAATGTTGCAACATCATAATATATTGAGCAACTTAATTCTCATTTGCGCGTGTTAGCACAGAATTCACGGCAGTCATTACACCCAAGTTAAATGTAGAGAAAGAGTCACAACACTTTTTTCATAAGAAAGTTTGAACAAAAGTGTAAAAGGTGCAAATATCTAATTTACGTAAACTTCAAATTATGTAATAAAACCTGATATAAATTATATCAAGTTTTACAGTTTTACTTTTACTTAAAAATTGCGGAAATATTTAATTTCGATTAATAGCATTTATTTTATAAAGTTGAAAAAAAGAAAAAAAAAAGAAAAAGACTTTGCTTTTTTTTTTTAAACATCTTCACTTCCAACAAGGCTGCAAGCAACATTTCAAATAGTTAATATTTATATATACATATGTATACATGTATGTGTATATATATATATATATATATATATATATATATATATATATATATATATATATATATACATTGACGCTCAAAAGTCAGTTTAAAAAAAGTGAACATTTAGGCATTATTTTATGAATGAAAAGATATTTATGGGTAGAAAGTATTTAGTTTAATATAAAACAAAAAGAATGTTTGAAAAAAACATAGAACAGCAATTGATTAACATTAGAACAATAAAAAATTAGGTAAAACGCAAAAAAGGTGCTGCTCAAAAGTTTGTTGACAGCAACAAGAACACAAGTTTAAACAAAAATAATAATAATTTTTTTTTTTTTTTCGTTATTTCGTTGCAAACACAATCCATTTCATATTTTGTTGGTCTGCCTTTAGCATCGATAACTGCTTGCAAGCGTTTTAGTATCGAAAGTACTAATTTCTGAATGAAATTAATATCAATTTCTTCCCAATGACATTTGCATGTTGTAAACATGTCATTTTTCAACTTTCTTTCGTTTTGAGGAATAGTTCTATCCTAGTATTCCAATATAGTTTCGATTATATTTAAATCTGGCGATTGAGCAGGCCAATCGAACTTGAAAATTTCATGATCAGCGAACGAAACTTTGATGATCTTTGCTGTATGTTTTGGTTACCGGTGATTATACATTAAAAAAATACTTCTCAACAGACTTTTAGATTTAACCAAATTTATAAATCATGATATATAACTTATCTATTTATATTTTTTGCTATTTTTGTAATACTTTTAAAAAGTAACTGTATCTCGAAGGAAATTTTGCAATATTTTGCTTTTCTTTTTGGTTTTTGATTGCGATGCAGCAGTTTTTCACAAAATATACGCCTGTCAACTAACTTTTGAGCTTCACTGTGTATATATATATATATATATATATATACACACACACACACACACACACACACACACACACACACACACACACACACACACACACACAGAGTATAGTAGAATAGTATTGAAGCCTAGTAATTTTCTTATTGGCATTTGTAACCAAAATTATGTCTGAATATAGTGTATTCAAATGTGCAGTAATGGAGACTTTAGTAACTAACATAATTTAAATAAAATAGGATCCGTACAACAACATTGTGAGAACTACAGTTGAGGCTATGGCAGCAGTATTTGGTGGAACACAGTCTCTTCATACAAACTCTTTTGATGAAGCTCTAGCTTTGCCTTCAGCTTTTAGTTCAAGAATTGCAAGAAATACTCAAATTATTTTGCAAGAAGAGTCAGGCATACCCAAGGTTTTTAACTGTTACTTTTTTAATATTTTTAAGTTATGAAATATTCTTCTAAAAATAAGTTTATTTTTCTATGTCCTAATTTAAGTATATTTATGATAATAATAAATGGTTTATGTTTTAAAAAACAACATAAAAAAACATGATAGTCAATATTAAAAAATGAAAAATCAAAACATATATATTAATAAAATATTAGGATAATAGTGTATGTTTCAAGGCACTGAAAATCAGTTAACTTTTCTGGTATGTCTCTCATGTAGCATGTTTATCATTAGGATTTTGCATAAAGTTAATTATATTTTATAGTGATGTACTGATGAAAGGCTGAAAGTGGCTAATAATAGTGTTTAATGTATGTATATAAGCTTAATATAACAATATTAAGGATGTAAAATATTAATGGATGTAATAATCTTGTAATGTAATATCATCTGTTATCAGCGGCCAATGGCATCAGTTGATTTTTCAACAGTCGCTGCAAGACTTAATTATTACTCGTACATAGGCACATGTTTGTATGTATATTACATACCTAATATTATTATATTACCTAAATATATGTAATATATATTTCATTAGTAATGTACTGATGAGCCTGTCATCAGTACATCACTAATGTTATATTTTATATATAAATAATCAAACATCTTTTATATATCTTATACATGCATAAATATTATTTATAAGCATAAGTTTATAATACAGTGTTAAATTATATTTCGTATTTATTACAAATTAGGTAAATGCCTGCAGTTTGTTTTTATTTTGTTTCAATTTACAGGTGGCTGATCCATGGGGTGGTTCTTATTTAATGGAGAGTCTTACTCATGAAATATATGTTGCTTCTAGAAAGATAGTTGAAGAGGTTGATTTTTTTTTTCATTATTCAAAATAATAATTTATTCATTTTGTTGAATAAATATATTGTGAAACAATTATGTTATTAAACTGCATATATTTGTTAACTTTTTTAAAGTTAAATTTATTGCATAAACATACAATTGAACTTACTAAAAGTTTAACAAGTTTTCTGAAATAATACTTACTGCTAAACATTGTATTAACTGGGTCCCATTTATTGGTGAAAATATTTTTGTCTTTTATTTTAAATTATATATTTTTATTTTTAACTTCTATGTTCAGTAATCTTTTGTCATTTTTGTCAAACATATTTAATAACAGTTATCATATTATTGTTACTCAAATATTGGTCATATTTTGTTAAATATAATTGGCCATATTTTGTTATAATATTGGTCATCATATTTTTACTTACATGTAGAAAGCATACTTATATGTAGACATTTTTGACCAACATTGTAAGTAGAGTTCAGACTGTTAATACAATAGCAATAACTATTGTTATTGTATTATTTTTTTTTAGAAACATTAACAATACCTGTGATTTACAATTATTGTAATACTGTAATACAATAACAATAAATATTGTATTGTAATTCATTTCGATAATACAGTAACAATATCTGAAAAAAAAAGGTATTTAAATGACCCAGTACAATAACGATATCGGTTAAACATGATGAAATTCAGCACCCTTTAATTTTTTAAATTAAAGTAGTTTTTTGACACAATATAGCTAATTGAATAATAAAGCTAATTGAATTATTTATTTCATTAAATTTTTACATTTTTTATTGGACGCTTAGATAAAAACCAAATATCTTTGCGAGTACTTGATATCATCTGCTTGATCTTGCTTTGAGTTACTTTTTTTGAGGTGGCTATCCATTTTTTCTTAAAATATTTTTTATTTGTAGCTAATTTCTTGCTTTTCAATAAGATTCCTTTTATAATTGACTAATAACTTTCAATAAATCACTGCTCAGGACAATTTGGAGGATTTGCTTCCTTAGGTACAAATTGGATGTCATTTTGTTCATACCACTCCAGACTTCTTGGAGTAGTAAATTGTAGCCAAATCAGGCCAAAATATTATGGGTATTTCATGCTTTTTAAATAAATGGCAAAAGGTGTTTCTTTAAGCACTGTAAATTTTTCTGTACTATATAAACTATTTAAAAGATCTGATTGGGGATATGAAAAATTTGGTTTAGTTCCAATACATATTGACTCACACAAAAACAAATGCTATAATGATACATGTGTTTGCTTTATAAGTGCGTCACCATTAGCTGTCCTCAGTTTTCAAGCAGGAAATTATAAAATGAATTGTAAATAAAGAATAATGGATGAAGTTTTTATCAAGTTTAGGTTGAAGAAATGGGAGGAATGGCAAAAGCTGTTGCATCAGGTATGCCTAAACTTCGAATTGAAGAAAGTGCTGCTAAAAGGCAAGCAAGGATTGATTCAGGACAAGGTTTTGATTTTTTTCTCTAGAATTTATAATTTAAAATATTTAAATGAAGTTCAACCATACCATAGGTGATTTTTTTGAAGTCTTTCTGTTCCTTTTTTTAGCTTTCATGTTTATTTTAATTCAAAATACTTCAATAAAAAAGTTCAGTATTATAAATGATATTTTATTAGAGTTAATATTATATTTTTATCGTCTCTCAGTTGCACAATTTATTTATTTGTCAAAACTTGATGTTAGTTTACATTCATAAACTTGATGTTAGTTTACATTCATAAGTAATCACAAGTATGATTATTGCTTAAAATATATTTTATTGTTGCCGTTAGTTATTAGTTTCCCTTTTTTTATTATTATTTAGTTGATAATTGCCATTAGTATATAGTAGTGGAAAGTGATTTCAAGAAACAGCGAAAGAGGACTGGATGTTGAAACAAAGCAGATTTATGAAAACATACTTTTAGACTTGTTTGTTAAAGTTTATTTTGTACTAGAAAGTCTACTTAACAGTAATATTATTATAATAAAATTTTATAAGAAAACTTATTTAAAAATATTATGGACCATTAATGTTTACACTCATATTGCTTAAAAGTAAAATATAAGAACTTAAAAAGGAGGCATACTGTTTTAACATTTAAAAAGCTGCTTTGGTATTTTTCACAAAGGTTTTTATATTATTATTTATTTAGAAACTATTGTTGGTGTAAACAAACATAAGTTAGAAAAGGAAGATCCTGTTGATGTATTGACTGTGGACAACACTATGGTTCGACTGAGTCAAATTGAAAAACTTAAGATATTAAGAGCAACAAGGGATAGCGCTAAAGTAATTTTTTTACTCTATTCATTCTATTTACTTTTAAATATATTTATCTTTTTTCATTTAAAAACCTTTAAAGTTCTCTATAAAAAAACATTCACTTATCTTTTTCACACTTTTGTTTAATGGTATTAAAAATCTCTTCTATTTTTGTATTGTTTGAGTCATAATAAAAATTCAAATTTTTTCTAAAAAAGAAAATGATCTAAGTTTATTTATTTGCATATAAGTTGCCAGGGCTATTCTAGACCGTTTTTAAAGCGCTGAATTAAAATTTTAGGTTTTTTTTTTTTTTTTTTAATAATGGCAGATATGGGTTTTTTGTGAAAAAATGTAAGCATTTGGCAATATTTCTGCTAAGTTTTGCCAGGACAGGGAGGTACTGCCGCCCAAATTTTTTTCCTAGAATAGTCCCTGGTTGCATATATTCAAGTTGTAGAAGAAACATCATAAGTATTACTTTTACGGTATTGTTCTTAATATTTTTGGTTTTTATTTTCTTATTCATTAAAAGGTACTCATTAAAAGTTTATAACCATGTAGATGTTTTAGAATTATAATCAAAAAGTTTTATTAAGTTATTCACAACCTAATGTTAAATAAAAAAAATTGTATATTTTATGTAACTTTTTTATTTAAAAAAATGATTTGCTCTTTTTATATTGCACTTTTTTAGGCAGAATATTGTTTAAATCAAATCACTGAATGTTGTCGGACATCCGAGGGAAATTTGCTGGATTTAGCTATAAAGGTAGAATTGCACTTTTAACTTTTAAGTTGCATATTTCTTTATTTTGTATAAATATTTTTTTGGTAATCAAGAGGTTCTAGGTTCAAATTTACTCTATGCCACTGGAAGTATCACACTCAACCTGTTTTCTGTGTGGCCTTGTTTAGAAAGGTTTGTGTTTTGGAATTTCGGTTTGAGAAATTAAAATTCAAAAGGTCTTTGACTCTAGTGTTGACTGTAGTCCCCCTCTATCCGCTACTAAAAAAAGTTTCATATATTTTTCATCATTTTAATTTGAAAACTTTATTTTAAAAAGCATTATGTGTGTTTATATATATATATATATATATATATATATATATATATATATATATATATATATATATATATATATATATATATATATATATATATATATATATATGCACACGCACGCACACACACACTCGCATACTATATTACTTAGTTAGGTTACCACAGATGGTAAAAAATGTGTCATGTTATTTTCATGTTTTATGCTGACAAATATAAGATTACTTACAGTAAAAACTAATTATTGTAGAAAATTAATTGAAATAACCTGTTTTTTAAAAACAATCAAGTGAGGTGTACAAGTTTTCAATTATCACACAGTTACCCTGTTTGTACAGTCCATCTATCAGTGATTAAACTACTTTTAAGTAGATAGACTACCCTTCTCCCAGTAACAACATTTCCAAAAGCATTTGATGATTGGGTAAGTACTCATCAAATGTTTTTGGAAATGTTATGTTACTGGGAGCACGGTAGTCTATATCTAATAATATATTATAAATCGAAACAAATAGCCTGTTTTATTTTTGCAACACATGTCAAATTTGATTCAGTAGTGTTCACGTTTAGTTGGGATAAAAACACAGAACTTTAAACAACTTTTCTAAAGGAAGAAATACTCCTCTACAGAGGCATTTTGCTCAGATATACAATTTCCAGACCTAAAAGACCTAAGCTAACACAAGCTATCATCACAATTTTCACTTTTGAGGTCTGTAAAATATATCATTTTACAAATCCACTCATATTGATCATGACACAATACCACTCATCACTACCTTGTTGTTAGTGTTATTATTTTCAACTTGCTGCTGCATTTTGGTACCAAAATGCAGCAGCAGTAAACACAGTTAAAAAATTTATAAGATTAAAAAAATTTCAGATTTAAACTTTTTTAGATTATAAAATTATGGATTATAAGATTAACCTTCATGGTGATCCATAAAATTTCATTCTTCAAGTGGATTTTACTAAAAAAATTTTAATTTTGTGGCAAAATGAGGTCCAATTAGCACATTGGCACAAGAAGCAAGTTTTTGTACCAAGATTCATGTTTATCAGCTGTAATAGTTTCAGATGATTTGAACCATTCAAAGGAATCTAAATTTGTCATTGTTCTTAAGTTAGTATCTAATCATGTTAAAGCAAATGTTATAGACAAGATACAAGAGCTAAATTAGTAATTTAAAAACCTTTTTATTGCATCTGCAATAACTTATTTTTATACAACAAGTAATTCAGAGAAAAATATTGTTAATTGGTGCATTAACGTTTTATAAAGCTGTTAAAAAATAATGTTTGATGTTCAATTTGTTTCTATGGAAGATGTTATAAATACAATTAAAATATGTTTGAAGTTGATGAACTATTTCATCAAATTTAAAACAGTAATGGATCAATAGAAATGTGACCGTATTTAAGTACATTGTATCTAGTGAAATAACATACTGCTTTAAATAAAATCTCCAAAAACCTATAAAATGTGGTGCATACAAGTTTGATGATGATATTGATACTTTCGGTGTGTTAAAAAAAGAAATATTGAAAATTATTATTATGAAGATGTACCTTTATATTAACTTATTATTATACATTAATATTATATGGTTAGTTTCTAATAAATTAATATTATATGGTTAGTGTTTATCAGTTAAGGTTAAAAAAATTTTTCTTATTTTGTAGTAACATTTTTGCTAAAATGGTGGTGGAACCAAATAATGTTGTATTTATGGTTTTTGGTATAAAGTAAATTTAAGTTATGCCAAAAGAAATGCTTGTAAAAACCAAACTTTAATAATATGTCATTATACATAGGTTAGATTTTTAAAAAATATCTTCACTTGACAAAAAAACTTCTTTGCTTGAATTTGCAGACAATCTTATTTCAATTAAATGCTTTTATGAATGGTTAAATTTTATTTGTACTTAAATGAATGGTTTTAAAATATTGAATTTGAACATAGTTTAAAGAATTCCCGGGTCGAAATGTGGTTAAAAAATGTGGTCATTGAAATTTAATGTGATATTAAGTTTATTCACAATTTTCATGTTGCACTGTATTGACATAAGAAGATCATTTCTTTTAAATATATCAACAATATCTTTTTTAATTTTTTTTTTGCATTTGAAGACCACTTGTATTTTGAGAAATTACCAAACTATTGTCATGACATAATTCAATATCATTTTTATTTTAAAACTGAGTAATTTGAAACAAACAAAAAATTCCACCAGCCATTTTGCTTTTAGGCTTCAAGAGCTCGTTGCACAGTAGGGGAGATATCTGATGCCATGGAAAAAGTTTTCAAACGTCATGTTGCAGCTGATCGAATGGTTAGCGGTGCTTACAAAAGTGAATATGGTTCTACCAATGAAATTGAAAATGTTTTAGCACGAGCTAAGGTAATATTTCTATTTTATTTATCATAAACTAAACATTTTAATTTTTATAGTATTTGTCTCTATAATTATTTAATATTAACTTTGTTATTTATTTTTAATTGTCTTAAATTTTTAAATGTTTGTTTAAAGTTAAGTAATTGTATTTTCATACAGCAAAAAATTTTAACCCCTTACCAAACAGTTGTCAGTAAATTTAGCATCTAAACTGTTTATAATTTCTTGTAAGTTATTGTCTACAAAAATTTCCTAAATATAAAAGTTTGTTTTTAATATTTTTAATATAAATAATTATTTTTATATAATTAACAAATGTTAAGTTTTCAACATTAGTACAATAACACTCCTGACTCTCATTATTATATTATATACAATTAATTGCAACATGATCCGCTAATATTGTCTCTCTTTATTGTGCTCGGCGTTTTATTACTCCAGAATCCGTTCTCTACCTCTATAAACCTCTTGTTCTCTACTTTTAATGAGGTTCTTTCTCTTTTAGACAAAGTCCAATATCGCATTGTATATGTTGTAAATGTTAAATAGCTCTTGCAACCAAAGTTGACCCTATGTCTCTTTGTTGTAAATTTACATCTATTTCTTTTTTTTCTACAGATACTACCATAGCTACTGTACAAGTCAACTATTGTCACTTGTTCTGTCAACCAAACTCAATCTTGCATAACGTGCATAACCTTTTACAGTAATTGTTTCTTCATGTTCGTAAAATTTTTGTTTAGTTTACCAAGTTTTTTTCCTCAAATATTTTTGTTTTAGAGTTCTCTTTGTCTCCGTGTTTTTCTAACTCATGCATTTTATAGTTTTTAAAGTTTTCAGACCGTTTTTCTTTAACTCTCTGCTCTTTACTTTTACTCTATTAACTTTCAACTTAGTGGTTGCTTGCAGCCTTGTTGGGAGTAAATTTATTTTAAAAAAATATTATTTCTTATGTTGTTAATTTCAGATTTTATTTAATGATGTTTTTGAAAAATACTATTTATTGTTAGTTTCAGATTGCAGACAGAATAGGAAGCTTCCTGATTCTTCTTCAGATACGCAAGTCTTTTTCGATACGCGTCTTTTTCAGATACGCAAGCTTACTAGCACGTTCTTACTACAACAACTCATCTAAAATTTTCTCAATATCATTAACTAACACTTTTTTTCAAAACGCCTGTAGTTAAAAAAAGACTTTTTTACAAAATATGCTAATTTATATGCCTATAAACTTTAATGAATAAATATTTTAGAAAAATTTTTAAAAATAAATAAACGTTTTACAAAGAGTTTCTGCTTTTTTTTTTTTTTTTTTTAATTGCACTTTTCTCGAAATACGAAATCTAAAGCTACAACCTTGTTTATCCGTTGCTTATAAACAATACAAAAAAATTTAATAAAACAGACTCCGCGCGGCCACTTACCAAAATTTTCAGTTTGTTTATTTTTTCTGTTAACCGCTAATGTGCTTCATTTACAATATATACTTTTTATGAGCTCTTTTTGAATATAAACATTGTTAATATAACTATATTGTGCAATTTACATTAGTATGCAAATACAATATAATGTCATCCACAATGACAATTTCAAACTTGTAGTAATAATTAACTAATATCTACAACAATGCCTAATAAATTGTCGTAATAAGTTAGAAAAGAAATTTTATCTTCAGCTAAGCTTTGATTTAGCAGTAAAGTTTTTAGTTTGTCTGAATCAAATTACATTTTTTTACGAGTTTTTCTCATCATTGATGAAATTTAAAGAAATTCATTTTAAATATTTTTAATAATATGATTAGCTTTTAAATTGTGATATAGAAGTTCAACGATCAGTATGGTCGCCGCCCTCGCATTCTTGTTGCGAAGATGGGACAAGATGGTCATGATCGAGGTGCTAAAGTTATTGCTACTGGTTTTTCAGATCTCGGATTTGATGTGGATATAGGTCCATTGTTTCAAGTATGCTTTCAATTTCTCGTAATGACTTGTATTAAGTGTTTTTTGTTATTTAAAAATTTTTTCAATTAGATAAATAAAAAGTATAAATTATTTTAATTTATATTATTATTCAGACTCCTAGAGAAGTAGCGCAGCAAGCCGTTGATGCTGATGTTCATTCAGTAGGAGTGAGTACTCAGGCAGCTGGTCATAAAACATTAGTACCTGATATGATTAAATGTTTAAAGGAGATGGGCAGAGGGTTAGTTTCTCGATTTTAACGTTATAAAAGTATTATGTTTATATAAATATTTATTTTATATTTACATTACATGTATTATAGTTATAATTTATTTTAAAAATTTCATAGTAAAAAATAGTAAAGTTATTTGTAACATGACGTTTGTTGTGTTTTAGAGATATTGTGGTCGTCTGCGGAGGAGTTATACCACCTCAAGATTATCCATTCTTATATGAATGTGGCGTTACTAGTATTTTCGGACCAGGTTTTTAATTTTTTTTTTTTTTCCTTACTTAAAACAATTATTCATATTTTTTTATGATCAAAATTAAAATAAATTTATGTTATGAACGTATATTTTTAGGTACTAGAATACCGCAAGCCGCTCTAAAGCTGCTAGATGACATCGAAAAAAATCTTGAGTCAGATTGATTGAATCGCAGATTCCATCTGATCAACATATTGTGGTCTTGTTTTATGTACTATCTAAAAAAAAATTTTTTAATTAAATATAAATATTTGATTTTGCATGTTGTTGTTGTTTGTTTAGCTTTTTTACTGTTTTTAAAAGACAACATTGACGATAAAAAATTTAAATTAAAAAAATACATCGTCACTGTTAATTGATAAAAGGAAGTTTAAAATTGATATTTGATAAAAGGAAGTTTAAGATTTTTTTTTAGAAAGTATTGAAGAGAGTTCTGGAAAACGCCATGAAAAACTACAACAGAAATGTTGTTCAAGATGTATTTGAGATGTATGCAGTGGCGTACCAAGGGTAGGGCGGGGGGCGGTCCGCTCCAGGTCCCGTCTGGGAGTAGGCCCCCAAATTTTAACACAATTTATATTTTTTTTACTTCAGCCGGATTCTGTAATAGTCAACAGTTTTGTTCTGTAATCACAATTGTTTACAAGAAAAATGAACCTGAAACATGATCGTATTTGCTTGCCAACATAATAAACAACCACTGCAAACAAACCAAGATGTAAGAAATTGAAATGACATCTTGGCCAATAACAACCACCGTGACTGTTTTGGAGGCCCTCCGCGAAGCTTCCTCCCCCACACCCGCGAGTACTAATAAATAGATTCGCCCTACCTACGAGTCTATGGTTTATGATGGTTCAGGCAGACTGACGGATGTTTATGTTGTTTCGTTAATGTGATTAATATACTCTATCATTCAGTATCTCAATAATTCGAGAGCAAATCACTTCTTCAGTTCGTCATCACCAAGTTACATGGTAAGTTATAATTTTATTCCTGCATATAGGCCTAACAAGGCTGTATGAGAAGATTTTAGTTATCAGGTTATAGTTTTATATCACACGTCGTTTTATGTTGAAGCCACATAAGGGGCCTGTCCTTAAACACTATCCGTATTGTCAATTTAATTACTTGGTTTTTAATAACTAATTTTGACCTTAAAAATGAGTAGGCCTAGCCTATTTTGGTAAACAATAATTTTGATTAGTAGTACGAAAACATTTAGTTTTGATATTGTTTGCTCGTCCTAGCGAATTTCCCATATGGAACGAGCTATTACCATAGATGGCATGGACAAATTTAAGCCCGAGACCATGATAACAATCATCTTGGGGGCCCCAGATTCCGAAAACATTAAAATTAAAATCGATTTTTTTAAAATCCCCCATATTATTCTTATGGTTCATAAATCCAATTAATAGCTAGCTTATTTGTGAACATTAATAAATATAATAATCAAAACAAATATAATAATTATAAAAAATATAATTATCATAATAAATTTAATAAATATAATGAATATAATAAATATAACAAATATAATTAATAAGTTAATATAACTAATATAATTTATATAATAAATACAATAAGCACAATAATAATTGTAAATATAATAAATATAATATATATAATAAATAATATATTAAATATAAGACACGTCAAAACAGAAAACACACAACTAACTAAATTAGAGACACAATAATATACAATAAGAACATCTAAATTCCCCCTTTGAACAGCTGCTCTGAATACTCGTTAAAGCATTAGCAATAATAGGCAATCAAACAATTCCCTTAAGAAAATTCTAGAATAAACAACTCTCGTGGAGACAGCCAACCACTGCCAACCTCTCTCTAAAGTAAAACCACGAATAATAACCAAAAAATAATTCCAATGAAAAACATTATTAAACACATCTTAAGAACTACCTAACTTTATTCCTGGAGACATGCGAAGCTCTGATGTGTAAATAGAACAATAGGCCATTGAAATCCTACAACGATAGAACAATGGAATTTTAAAACCAGAAATTTTACATTTTTATGGCCACTTTCATGTAGAATTAGAAAAACGTTTGACTTCATGAACACTGTGTATTAAAAATTTGCTGTTGTACACACAGGTAATCTTTTGAAGGCAACTGATAAAGAAATTGTGACCTATGCCCATTAGTTTTCAGAAACTTTCAATGATGTAGAGGAGGAAGAAATGCTGCCTGAAGTAAAGAGGCTGAGAAGGCATCTGAAGGCTTCTGGCATCAAATTAGACATTGCAGCTGCATGGACATCCTTGAAAATGTTTCGTTTATCATCGAAATGGACTTTCGTGAATCGTTGCCAAACGTTACTGAAGCTCTTAAACTGTTTCTAACTATATGTTTTTAAGCTCTTAAATTGTTTCTAACTAAATTGCAAAACATGTGAATTTTGATGAGTTAATCAAACGATTTGCAGAAGTCAAGGCTCGCAAGAAAGCATTTTAATGTGTTTCTAGAGGTAACTCTTTGCTGTAAATCTGTTTTTTTTACAGTACATTGTACATCATTGTATTATCATTTAAAATAAATAATCAAAACTAATGTTTTAGTCATTTGTGTACATAAATAAATTTCTATAAGTGATATAATGGCGTTAATGGATGTATATATATATATATATATATATATATATATATATATATATATATATATATATATATATATATATATATATATATATATATATATATATATATATATATATATATAGGCTCCATTTACTAAGTGCCGCCCTAGGCCCCAAAACATGTTGGTACGCCAGTGGATGTCTGTAAAAGTGTTAAATAAGAAACAACTTTAACAACGGAAGCAGGAGTGATTTGGATGACAATGAATGACAATCTAACAATGAATAAGCTGTTTCTCTAAACTGTTTAACGAACAGTACTATTCGCTTAACGAACAGTACTATTCGGAAAGAATGGTAAATAGTATATTTAATGTTTTATGATGAACTAATATTATTTGTTAGACGAATAGTACTAATTGTTTAACGAATTATACTATTTAACAAATAACCATTCACAAAACTTCATGACTGAAGTTTTACGAATAATTGCTCTTCAACTTCATTTAACTTCGATTGGCGAAGTTAAACGAACTTCGCTTGTAATTGTCTTTGTTAATGGTATTGTTAAAGATTTTTTAAAGACCTAACCTTTTGGGATAGGAGGTTTAGAAAATTTAAGAAACATAGTTCTTAGCGTCAGACAAAACCTTTTTGCACTGATTACTTGTTAAACAAACGATTGGGTAAATCTAATGTTAAAGAACTACGAGATACTAGTTTGAGTGATGTCGTGACTTGGCCTGAACCACTAAAGGAAAACAATTAAAAATTGTGCTAAGGTCAGAGGCATAATTTTTTAATTTAGTTTTAATTTAGCAAAATTTTGATTAATAAATTTAGGGTCAGAAATAAGACTCAAATCAAAAAATTATTGATTAGAGTTGAAAGTTATTGATTAGGGTTGTCTGAAAGTTATTGTTTAGGGTTGTCTGAAAGTTATTGAGGGTTGTCTGAAAAAACGAATAAAAAAGTTAACTATTTAAATATGAAGTTAAAAAATGCAATTTTTTTAACTTTAATACCAACTATGACTCTAGTGTAAAGCTATTCAGTGTTTCAAGCTATTCAGTGTTTCAAGTTATTCAGTGTTTCAAGTTATTCAGTGTTTCAAGTTATTCAGTGTTTCAAGTTGTTCAGTGTTTCAAGTTATTCAGTGTTTCGAGTTGTTCAGTGTTTCAAGTTATTCAGTGTTTCAAGTTGTTCAGTATTTCAAGTTGTTCAGTGTTTCAAGCTATTCAGTGTTTCAATTTTTTTTTTTTTTTTTTTTTTTTGGGGGGGGGGGACCATAAAAGAAAAACCATGACTAATTTTTTTAATTAAGAGAAATCATAACTAATATAATTATATTAGTTATGATTTCTCTTGATTAAAACAAAGTATAAGTATAAGATCTTATATGATCCTTGTTGAGAAGGTATTTCATCCAGAGTGGCTCAGAGTTACATTGAATACATTTTCATTAATATCTTTTAATGGTCAATTTTCATTGATAAAAAACACTGAACTTTGCAACTTTAAAAATAATAATACTCTTTATACCTGTAGCTACAGTTTACAAAAATTTTTTTGTTTGCAAAAAAGAGTAACTATTACCATTACCCAGTTTAACTTAAGAGATAAACCTAAACCAGCTAGATTCCTTAACCCAGATACTTGCTTACCCATATAAACTCCACTTAAATTTAGTTGGTTTAAAAAGCATAACAAATCTTTAAAAAATTTTGTTAAAACTAATATGAGAGTTTTTGCTTTCGATAAGGTAAAAATACTTAATAATAGAATTAATAAAGACCTAAAGTTTAGAGAATTCCTTTAAATTAATCTTGTAAAGCTGATTGGTTTGTACTTTAATTTTTACTTCTTTTTTTAGGTCGTGATAAATCTACCCTTTTGTTTATGTCTAATTTTATATAAATGTTTTATTTAAAAAACAATGACAACTTCATATATAGAATTTATAAAAAAGTTCGTTGCATACTTCGCCAAAGGTTTGATTAGTTTCTAGATAAATTGTTAAACTTTAATAATGACAATTATAACTTTTTATGATATTTATGTCTATTTACTGTCTATAATGTTAAATGTATTGATTTAAATTAGTTTTATTATATCAAAACTGTTATGTAAATGTCAACATAAAATAAATGTTTAAAATTAAAATTTAAATCACCATTAACATCAATATTGGCTGATGGGTAATAACAATATTTGCAAATAGGTAAAAACATTATTGGCCAATGGGTAAAGAAAAAGGGCTTGGTCAATTTGATTAAAAATTAAAATTGAAAAGTGTGTATTTAAAAATTGATACCTTACTTCACAACAAATAGTTGTCTCGATTAATCAAAACCCAAGCCAAGCATGACCCAAGCCAAGCATGTGACTGTTAGAGTATTTGAGACTCAAAGGGTAATCAGAAATCCAAAAAATAAGACATAAAAATACAAAAAGATAATATTTTTGTATTACGTCATTAATTATGCGCATAATTTACTCAAAAACAGCATATTTTCTAACAAGGATAACTAATTGCAGAGTATTCCAAATCAAGTAAAACTTTTCAAAAACTTTACTTATTATATGGACTGTGTGCTGAGTCAAAATTAAAGTTGATATTTTCATTTATTGCTCTGAAATTTACATTTTAGTATAAACCCCTAAAAAATAGCCTGTTTTACCCAAATTTTAATTTGAATGGGATGCCATAGTATAAATATTTTTGACTCAGCACATTTATCTGACTAAGTTTTATCTCTGTAGAAAATTTCAAAGAAAAATATTGAACAAAACTAAAGATATCTTTGTTAGAAGGTAGAAAATCTTTAAATAGAGAAAAACGCATTGAAAAAAAAAATTCAAAAATAAAAAGCTACAAATTTAAATATGATCTAATTTTAGTATTTTTGACCAATGTCATTTAGCTTAGGAATAACTTAACAGTGTAGATAAGAACTTGGTTTAGGTACAGTAAAAAAATATGGAGAAAAAGTGCCTATTAGATCTGGAGAAAAGAAGTTCTAACCGTCGCTAAGGCCGTTGCTAAGGAACTTTTGGATGTTAACCCCTTTTTAAAGAACAAAGTTAGAGCAAACATATAACTTTTTTTTCGATTGTTATAAACTTTTATTGTTTATAAAGGTTAAAGCTTCCAAAAAACAGCGTTTAAAAATAAAAATAAAATTTCGTCTAGAGAGAAAATGATTTCTTTAAACTTTTTCTTAAACGAGATATAATTTCATTGAAGAGAATAGAGTTTTTCAATTTTGCATAAAATATGTGTCAAATTAATCAAAGAACGTTTAGCCAAAGTTTCAGAGCTAAATAATTTATCTTTCTTTAGATATGAGCATTTTATTAGAACACTGTGTATCTTTTTTTCCTTAGCAACGAAGATACTAAATATTTAACATGGTTGTTAGGGCAATTTCTCCCTAAAAATAAGCTCAATTTTACTGGAGTCTTCAAGCTTTGTAAGCTTGATGTCACTTCTATGTTTTTTGAATTGAAATTCAATTTGAAATTAACCACTAAACACGTTTTGTAACAGCTAACAGATTTGAAAGATTTGGAGTGTTATTGTTTGTTTACCCTTTGGATTTATATTTTATATATATTATATAAATATATTTAAAAGAAATGCCAAATAAACAAAATAGTACTAGAAAGAAGAGCAGAAAATGGAATGGGTTTAAACCATCTGATATTCTTAAATCAAAACCTCCAGATCATGAGATTTCTTGTGTTAGCTCAAGAAAGTTAGAAGTATCGTTCAGCTCGGATAAATGTGACTCTGACGACTATTTTATACTTATTAACTTTTTATTGTTAAAGAAATTAATTGCACACACTGTTTTCCCCAATTGCTTTATTGGAAATTTGTTAATCAAAGATAACGTTAATTCTCGCATGGGCTTTTGTCATTTACTTGAGATGAAGTGTACAAAGTGTAACTTTTCTAAAAATTTTAGAACTTCACCAAAGTCAAAGAATTCTTTAAACACAAATGAGTTTCCTATTGATACTGTATTTCCTATTTATAAAAAAGAACTTTCATCTCTAGAATCACCATATGAGATCAACCTGCGAGCTGTCATCGGATTGCGAGAAATAGGTGCTGGCCATGAGTCTATGAAAACTTTTTCCTTCTGTATGAATCTTTATTGTTTGTCGCCTAATGGCTTTAATAAGTTAAATAAAACTGCCATGTTAGTATACAAAATTGCTGCTGAGAAAAGTATGCAAAAAGCTGCTTTTGAAACCAAATCAATAAACAACTCTCTTGAAATGAAAGAAGTTAGAATTTCTATTGATGATTTATGGCAAAAGCGAGGTCATAATTCGTTGAATGGTGTTGTAACTGCTGTTTGTAGTGATAAATGTATTGATGCAGAGATATTTACCAAACATTGCAATTGATGTAAAATGTGGAGATCTAAAAAAGGAACTCCAGAGTATCAGTGTTGGTTGGTTGATCACCAGTGTGAATCGAATCACAAGGGTTCATCGGGTAGTATGGAATCTGTAGGAGCTGTGGCTATGTTTAAGAGATCTTTACAAAAAAATAAGTTGATATATAAAGAATATCTAGGAGATGGGGATACATCTTCTTTTAATGATGTAATAGAAGCAGATCCTTACAAAGAGTATGGTATTATGCCTGTATAATGTGTTGGACATGTTCAAAAACGGTTAGGAACACGTCTACGAAACCTTGTCAAAGCCCAAAAAGGTACTAAAAAACCAATATCAGGCAGAGGTAAACTCACTAAAAACTGCATTAATTCAATGCAAAATTTCTATGGTCTTGCAATCAGATATAATGTGGGAAACTTGTATTCAATGAAAAAAGCAGTTTATGCCATACTTTTCCATTTCACCAATTTTCCTGATTCCTACACACGCCACCAGTTTTGTCCTCGTGGAAAATATAGTTGGTGCAAACACTGGGCTCTAAATCAAAAGAATTATAAACCCAAATCTACCATACCTCTGTGGATAAAAGATTTAATTCTACCAATAATTATAAATTTACAATCAGATGAATTGTTATCAAAATGTTTACATGGAAACACACAAAATGCTAACGAGGCACTTAATGGATTTATTTGGGCTCGTGTACCAAAAAGAGTTTTTGTTTCTAAATCAACACTGGAAATGGGAACGTATTTAGCTATTTTAGCATACAATGATGGTGCAAAGGGTGTTATTAGTGTTTTTAGACATTTTGGTTTACATGGTAAGGTATCAAATATTTCAGCGACTTCTAAAAATAAAAAAAGGATTAGTCAAATGAGGTGCAAGTCATCAGAGAAGGGAAAAAAAAGAAGAAAAACTCTTAGAGCCATTAAAAAAGGTCACCTAGATGAGGAGAAAGCAAAAGAATGTAATGACAGTTATGTTTCAGGAGGATTTTGAATTAATATTGTAAATATTATATCAAGAATTTTTCAATGCTGTTTATCTCAGTTCGCGTTTTTTTATTTTTGCTTAAACTTCAAAACACAGTTTCTTGAGTTAGCATTGTTCATTTGATCTGAAATTTTCAGTACTTGCTCGAAATACCTATAAAATTCATTTAATAGATGGATTTTTTTTTATGATCAGTAATTTTTTTTTTTTTTAGTTAGATCTCTCTAAAACGTCAAAAAATAAATAAAATATGAGGAAAAACTACATAACTCATCATTTACTTTGATATTTAAAAAATCTATCTGTTAAATGGAATAAAATAGTGCTTAGAGTAAGTGTACAAAATTTCAGGTCATATAATGATGGCTAGCCTTAGATATTATGTTTTGAAATTTAGTCCAAAAACGCATTTTTTAATAGTTTTTCCGCCATTATGGTCCTTATGCTAATTAAAAAAAAATTTTTTTTTTGCTTTTTTTTATTTAAATCATTTGAGTAAACTGTAATTAAAAGCATTTTTATTTTGGAGGTTTATTTCATTTTTTTATTTATTTGGTGTTGTACCACCTTAAATTGTATTTTCTTATCTTTTATTGTATGCGGTAATGGTGTAGTAGTAGAGCGCTTGCTTCATAAGCGAGAGGTTTGGAGTTAGATTCCCACCACGTCCCTGGTAGTACCGCGCTCAACTTGTTTCTCCGCACAGCGGCCTTGTTCGTTAAAGTTTGTGTTTCGGAGTTATAGAGTTGAGAGAGGGTTATAACTACAAGTAGCCTCCTCATCTGTAGTGGCCTTCTCGGCCTTGGGGAGGTGAATTACAAATATATATATATATATATATATATATATATATATATATATATATATATATATATATATATATATATATATATATATATATATATATATATAAATTGTGGAAAGAAAATAGGGACGAGTTAGTTTTAAATTTGAACATAAGACAAAGTATATTAAAAACATCGAGCTGATATATATTAAGAATTTCTATTTTAAATAAAAGTTTGGTATGAGTAAATTTCTCTTCAAATTGATAAGTCGAGCAACATGCTTCTGTAGACGATAAAGAGGCTCTAGTTTAGATATTGACATAACACCAAGCAATATTTGCAAAGTTTAAACAACAATGAATAAGTGAGAAATGTAACTAGTTGGACTACTTTTGTTTAAAGCACTTTACACAATGTACCTTTGCTTTTTAGAACTTTGTTAAACAAGAATTTAAAGTGGTATTTCCAACTAAGATTTTCATCGACATAGATACACAAAATGTTTGTACTAGTTACTCTTTTTATTTGAACATAAATAAAAGTTGTTTTGTTTTAGGAGTTGGATGAAAGAGTGGCCATTTTGTTTTTTCAACATTCAGTGAAAGTTTATTCATTTTAAACCAATCAGAAATTTTTGCTTACTCAATTCTCATAATTTGAAATAATGTTGATATGTTATAATCAGATAAAAAAAAAGGTTAGTGTCATCAATAAACATGACTGCTCTTAAATTTCAAGTTTATTAAGATCATTCATGTAAATGAAAGAAATAAAAGAGAAGCCTAACCTAAACCCAAGCTTAACCTAGACCAAACCTTTTCACAGCTCTACCTAAATACTGTAACAAAAATGTAATGTAATTTTACAATGATTTTTTGGAACCAATTGGAACTAATAATGCAAGGAACTAAAATAAAGTATCCCTCATAAAAGATTTTTACTAATAATACAACTTAAAAATAAAGCATATTATAAAATTCATTAAGATTTCCATACAAAAAAACCACAACCTGCATTTTTATTACTAGAGGATCCTACTGGCTTGCTACAAGCATAAAACTGGCGGCCAAAATTATTCCCTTGTTTTTTAACTGTTCTTAAAACAGCTTTTTCTTTGTGACCGTGGCATAATGGAGTTGATTCCGGTCCTTTTAATATTTTTTTCCATATTTCTTTATTTGTATTTTCAGTTTTTTGTTTCATAGAACTTTCATATAAAACAGCAGATTCAAAACTTGATGCTTCTTTCACAGCATAATAATTCATATTAGAATTATCGATAATATATGCAAAATTAGACGATGACGAATTATGAGATAATTCTAGGTTGGATAAACGAGAACAAGAAATTTCTTCTGTCGATGATTGAAAATTAGATATTTCTACATGAGATGATCGTGAATGATTTTCTGTATCGGAAGCTTTAAAGTATTTTATTATAGAAAAGTCTTGGTCAACATTTTTTTTTTTTTTATAAAAACGCGATTCTGTTGAGTCATTTAATTTTCGCTTGATGCCTTCCCGATCAGATTCAAAACGTTTGGAACTAAAGAAACTTTTTATATCACTCTGTTTTCCAAATATTTCTGGCATAAATGCTGCACATGTTTTGGGTATTAAGTTACTTGCTTTAAGCAATATATTAAAATCTGCTACCACAGGGCAATGATCAGAACCTTGCACGTCTGCAAGAATTACACAGTTTGTTAGAACTGTGCATAATTGGTGATCTGCTAATATAAAATCTATTCGTGTTCCAAAATTTGTTTCTCTTGCTCTTGTTTGTGTATTCCAACATGTGTAAGCGTTTTGTTCGTTTGGATGAAAAATTCTAAAAGTATCAACAAGAAAATTGTTGACATTTTTCTCAGAAAAACTTTCGGAACCTTTGACTTTTAAATTTTCATCATTAACTAATGTATCACTTTTTTGATTTATAGATGAAGTTGTAGAAACTAAACTTTTAATGATACTACAGTCAATGATACTATCAAGCCATTTTCGAGCTGGGCTGTCTTCGAAATCCTAAAATGACATTAAAACATGATGATAATAATATAATAATAATATTAACAGTAGTTATAAATAGTAAAAATGAACTTTACTATTTGTTATTCAATTAAAAGTTAAATACAAACTTTAATTTTAATTCTGGTATGTTGTTGTTTTAATAATATAATTTATGATTTGTTTAGAGATAAAACGTAAAATTTATACTATATACAAATTATCTATAAAACTAGACTCAATTACCTAAAGTCAAGTTAACTTACGCATTTCGGTAACTATAACTATGTTTATGGAGGATGTAAAATAGACGCAACTTTTTTATAAATTGCAACTTGCAATTTATTATAAATTGCAACTTTAGGACTGTAATTTATAAAAAAATTTTATCTATCATTTAAATAATGAATAATAGATATATAATACTATTCTGATTAATACACCAATTATTATCTGATCACTTAGTAACAAAGGTCACTTAGAAACACTGGTCAGTATTTAGAAAAAATATTCTTGTAAAGTTTTATATTTTTATATTAAAAATACATCAAAGAGATAATATTATTGAAAAATTTAACTATTGGACAAAGTAAATTATTTCCACTATACTGACAAATTTAAAATAATATATAAATTCATTAACTGTTAATTGAACTTTAAATATTTTTTTTTTTCAAATGCTGATCAACCTCGTTAATGACTTCAAATTGAGAGGGATGATTCCATTAATAAATTCAACTGATGAAAAAATCTAGATTATAAAACATGACTCTAGATTATAAAACATATGACCTAAAATATGATTAAAAACAAAAAATATATTAATACTGCTGCTAGCTACTGCTGCTGTGAGTTTTAATTGTTTATTCAGTAGTTGTAAAAAAAATAAACAAGAAAAAATTTAACTAACTAGTGCGTTGGTTACAACTACATCAAAAGAATGGGTAAAACTGGTTACTCTTAGTTTCATCAACAAGTTATCTTTTCTATTAAAATACCACAATATATCACTAAACAAACTGAATGTTTAGCGATGGTGTGATAGTATTTTTCTTTGTGTTAGGAAAGAAAACAAGAAAACCATGTTAGAAAAGAAAACCACAAAGAAAAACCATGAAGATATTTTGTTCGTAACTCAAAGAAAGTCATAATCAGAAATATATAAAAATTTCAATGGGTCTATAGTAACAATTTTTTTTGACCATAATAACTTAGAGAATCCAAATTTTTAAAATATAGAACAAAATTGGAGAAAGACAATTGTGTTATGTTAGATGTTTTGTTTATTTTGCAGCAGTTGCTATATTCCAACAGTTGTTGCACCAACTTAGTACCCAATTTAGACTTGTTTCTCTAAATATTCCATCTTTTTTAAAGTTTGTTTTAAAAAATTACTTAAAACACAAGAAGATTCAAAGGAGGAGGATGAGGAGATTCAAAGAAACATTTAACAAATTAGCATTCAAATGTAAATTGATAAAATGATCGAATCAGTAAAAAATAAAGAATATATAGAAAAGAATGAAAAATAAAAAGCATATAATAAAGAATGAAGAAAAACTTACAAAGAATGAAGAACAAGTAATAAAGGATTAAGAATAAAGAATAAAGAACAAATAATAAAGAATGAAGTAAAAAAAATAAATAATAAAGTATGAAAATAAAGAGTAAATAATAAAGAATATAATAAAAATCCATATAATAAAAATAAAACAGATAATAAAAATGAAGAACATATAAAAAAAAAAACACCCAGGATCAAGAGAGGCCACAAAAACTACGAGCAAGAACAAAAAAAAAAAGCCATTAACACTGGGCAATATTTTTTGTATCTTTTTTGGCTAATTAAAACTGATTTTGGCTGAGAAAAAAAGAAAATAACAACGAAAATAACGTTTTAAACTAAGAAACCATGATCATCAAGCTAATAGGTATAAACTTAATTATGAGGTATTGTCACAAGATCCTAAACACAAGCCAACAGTAACCAGACCAGTCTTCTTTTTTGTAATGTGAACTTCTGTCTCATGGTTGTCATGGTTTTGATTGTGCAAGCTAAGTTTAGAAAAATGGACAAATAATCTCCATTCATTTGGATCATAGAGACAACATTTAGTTTAAAGACATCAAATAATCTCCATTCATTTGGATCATTGAGACAACATTTAATTTAAAGACATCAAATAATCTCCATTCATTTGAATCAGAGAGACAACATTTAATTGAAAGACATCAAATAATCCCCATTCATTTGGATCATAGTTCAAATAGAGACAATATTTAATTTAAAGACATCAAGTTAGGGAACACTCCACTACTTTAGTCTCGACCCTAGAAGATTAAAAAATACTTTAGTCTTGACCCCAGCCTTTTCTGTGACCCTAGAAGCCTTTTTCTGTGGCAAGTCCAAATCTCAAACAAAATCACTTAATTCTGCTTGATTTTTGTAGCGCATAACCTATTAACAAAAAATCAGGATCATTCAATTTAGAGGATTTATTTTCTTCTTTTTCTATTTTTACTTCATTTTTTGCTTTTAACCCATAACTATGTGGTGGAGTGGGAACTGGTAAACTCTCGGAATTTAAAATAGGTGGAATGGCAGATTAAAAATTTGGATATTTAACTGTCCCTATTTTCTTCATTGATAAACCTGCTGTGTCAATGATGTCAAGCAGAAATAGCAGTCCATCTGTATGGTTTTTTTTAGGAACAGCAAAAGTAAAAGTTTTTATTTTATTTTTCAACCATTCTTGTAGTGTGACCAAACAAGAGTTACACTATATATGTTGAGTCCAGAAATATCATGGTCCCTGCTTTCATACCCAAGTAATGCTGTTAAGCAGTCTTGATAAAAGGTGTCATGATTCTTTTCTGTGATGAAAACTTCACCACAAAAAAACATAAAACATTATGGATAATCAAAACCAAAAAAAATTTTCTTTTATTTTTCAAATTAGAGCTATTTTTGAATTCAGCAGGTGGAAATACATAAGAAATAACTAATTTTGGTTCCGAAAAAAAATACCTGCTGTCCAGTGTTATAATGAATAGCAATCTTCTTACTTTCTTCTTTATGTCTTCTTGGATTATTGTTCACTACTGACCTCTCATGTACTCATACGATTGTTTTTCTTTATCCTGCTTGCAATTTTCTCACTCCTGATTCCATTCTCTACCTCTTTCTTATTTGCACCTGTATGGAATACTGTTATCATATTTAGGCAGGTTCTTCTAACTATGCTTTTTCACTTCTAGACAAGATCAAAAAACGCATTGCAAATGTAGTTAAACATTGCAAGGTTCAACTCTAATAATTTGATCTTCAGATTGTTTTTATTGTTTTATATTTTTTAGGATAAACTAATATTTTTATACTTCAAAATTTAAAACATTCATAGATTCTTTTTTCTACTATATCATATTTACCTTAAAACGTTTTTGTTCAATTAAACGTTTTAAGGTAAGTTATGATATAGTAGTAGACATCATTGTAGACATTTTGATATACACATGTTATAAACATACTTTGTATGTGTTCAGATATTTTATCAACAGTTAAGTCAACAACAGCCTCAACAGCCAATAACTCAACTTTAAAAAAAAAGATCTGAATGCATATCTGTAAATAAAAAATTCAAACATGAGATCTGAATTCAGATATTGGAGGGGAAAAAAAATTACAGTTAAATGATTCTTTTGGTTTGGACAAAAAAACTTAAAAATTTAAAAGTTTTATTATTTAAAGGATTAAAGTTAAGGATACAAGTTAGTTTTACTTTTACTTTTACATAACATCAATTTAAATCAGAACCAAGATTCTTGAACCTTGATCCTCTGATTTTAATTTAAATCTTGAACCTTGATCTTGATTTGAATCCTGGTTCTAGTCATAGAAGCAATACTAATTAAAATTTGTAATTTAAAAAAACTGCAATTAAAATTAATCAACTTTCAGTTTCAGTAAAACTAGACAACCAACATATGCTAATATTAGTCTATACAAAATATATAAAAATAATAATATTAATAATATTAGTTATAGTCTATACAAAAATTATTCATGTACTCTTGAGCTTATTAACCTAAGCTTATTAAGACCCCCCCCCTTCCATTTATTAATTTTAACTTGTTATCAACAAAAAAATTATATATCTCAAAAGTAAAAAAAAAAATTCAGTGAAAATCGGCCTTAAAAATTTGAAAATAATTTTCAGTCACTGATAAAAACTTTCAGTGTAAACAGGTTTTACAAATTGTCGACCTATTAAACTTCGATTTGCTAAAAATAAACTTTTAGTTTATTTCTTAACAAAGCTTTGGTTTTAATTATAGGATTTAATATGCTGATATAAGTTTTATACTTTATAAAGTATAAAATTTATATCAGCGTATTAAAACAGCCTAACCCTACCCTAACAGCTGTTAGAAAATGCGCTTTTGACCGCAAGTCAAACGCGCATTTGACTTGAACATGCTTAACTTGCATGTCAAATAAACAGGGGGGCGGGAGAAGGAAGCATGTTCAATTCCCCCTTGTTTATTAAATTTCAGAAAAAATCTCTCCCTCCCCCGAATTCCCACCCCCCCGTTTATTCCCACCCCCCGTTGTATTCGGCACCCGAGAGTACCATTTAAGTAGAATTTAAAACTAATTGAATCATTTAACTGTAATTTAAGTGTACTAATTGAATCATTTAGTTATAATTTAAGTAGACTAATTGAATCATTAGTAGAATTTATGAATCAAAGAAGAATTTAGGTAGACTAATTAAATTATTTAAATTTATTTAAAAACTTTGGCATATAAAATTCGCCGAATGGTCACACACGAGCAGTGAACGCCTGAGGGAAGAAATGAAGTACATTAGAATAAAGGAGAATTATTTATTAGACAAAGCATATTTTGACAGTTGTCAAGACAAAAATAAAGTTTAATTAGAGGAATATTTAAAAATAAATAAGACAGGCTATACACCCACAACAATAATAACAGTAAAAATAAATTAAAAAATATATATATATATAAAAAATAAAAAATAAAAAAAAATTTAAAAAAAAAAAAAAATTGTTTTATAGACACCAATATGAACGAAGATATATATCACCAGACAAAAACTTGTAAAACAAAAAACGGATCACAAAATAAAAAATCTGATAACAACAATGAGAGGCATTTAATAATGAAAAAAAAACATTAATGCTAATGTGTAAACATAATTTGTGTAGTGATTAAGTAATAAACATCTCCTCAGAGTCGCATCTATTATTACTGGCGTTTCGATGAGGATCAGCATTTATAACTAGTTTATCCTGTCAGACAAACGTCATCGCCACTTATGCTTTACCCTGCGACTTACGCCTATTCCATACTGCAGTAAAAAAGGACTCACAACAAATAGCCAAAACCCAACCAACCCCAAATTTGTAAAGCACCAATATTTTTTTGATGATATGATATAAAAAGTGTAGATTTACTGAACAAACAAAAATAAAAATAAATAAATAAAAAACTTACCATACCACCAAAAGAAAACATGAAAACAAAATAAATTAAAATTCTAATAGAAACATAAAAAAAAAAAAATTCATAAATTTATTTAAAGAAATAAAACCAAATAGGTATTATTATCAGAAAGCAGTATACCTCATTAGAAATTTATTTTTATATCAACAAAACAACAATAGCCTTAAATTAACTCTAACGCTGTCATAGATACCTAATTCAAAATATGATAACCAATCAAAAGTGTAGGAAAATGAGCAGCCCACGAAACCCAAAATCATAACAATAATTGAATAATATATGATAGCGAAAAAGAACGTTGCACAAAAACCTTAAAAATGTAAGCGGCATATATGTAAACATTTAATGAAGGATATAAAAATATTCTCTGAATAATAATAAAGATGAAAAATGTGCATGTGAAAATTAAAACAAAGCTGAGCAATGAATGCAACAAACAGTAATAATATGAAAATCAGGAGATAAATAATATATCAACAAACACTGCAACAAGACTAACTAAATATTGCAATAAAACCAGATAATTTTAAGCCAAATGAGTGGTTAAAAAACTAGCCGTGGATAATATAACAACGATATAAGTCGTAATGTAAAAACGATGTACAAAGCGGAAAAAAAAAATTTTTTTTAAAAGTGAAGTTTTCTTTACGGTAGGAACTAAAAGAAACTTTGAGACCATATCTAAATCGAAATTTCCGAAAAGTAAAGTTTTCTCTACGGTCTGAATTAAATGTAATTTTGAGATCATAACAAAATAATAAGGAAAAACATACATCATAAAAACATGTCGAAAGCCGCTAGTTTATAAGAATCGCTCTTATATATATATATATATATATATATATATATATATATATATATATATATACATATATAGATATATATATATATATATATATATATATATATAATATATATATATATATATATATATATATATATATATATATACATATGAATCCTTTAATGAAAAACTCAATCACACATGATAAACATATATAGATAACATACAAATCTATATCAACATTTCAACCACATATTATCTATTAAAAGAAAATATTATTTAAATAAGGATGAGTTCAAACAAAGATAGTTTATCTATGAAAGAACAAAAAGCATGCAAACAATGTAAACAGGCAGTATGTGCATAAGGGTGTATAGGTGTAATGCATAAGTCTGTGCTGTTTATGTCGTTCGGTAGAGTCTTGTATTGTTAGTAACCAGCGTAAAAGATTTGTCCCTGAACTAAACCAAGCCAGCCCAGCCATACCCCAGAAAACCATGATGGATTAAACACCTATGCATGGATTTAGAACTGACTTATGACTAAAAAGCTAGCCCAGGCATCTTCCACAGACAAACATCATCTTTCGCGGTGACAGTAATTGCGATTAGGAAAATAGTCATGCTTGATGACCGTAACACTAACCCTTATGGGCTAGGCCCAATATTATTTAAAAACTTTGGCATACAAAATTCGCTGAATGGTCACACACGAGCAGTGAACGCCTGAGGGAAGAAATGAAGTACATTAGAATAAAGGAGAATTATTTATTAGACAAAGCATATTTTGACAGTTGTCAAGACAAAAATAAAGATTAATTAGAGGAATATTTAAAAATTGAATCATTAGTAGAATTTATGAATCAAAGAAGAATTTAGGTAGACTAATTAAATTATTTAAATTTACATTTGATGTAAATTTAAATAATTTTTAAATATTATTATATATATTAAATAATTAAGACTAATTGAAATATTTAAGTATTAAACGCTAAAGTTAAAAGATTAAAAGAAAAAGGGTTACTTTAACCCTTTTTTTAAAAATAAACATAAATGGGATTAAAATAACCCATCTTCATAACAAACATCAAGTTTAGTACTAAGTTCTTACCTCACACGGATCACAAGAATCTATTCTCTTGTGAGAAACATTTAAATCACCAACAACAATAATGTTCCTAAAATATAAAACTATAAAGAAGCAATTAATAATTAATTAAAGAAGAAATTAATTTTAATGAACAACGTTATGAAATTGAGATTATCCTGACAGAGAAAGAGTCGACTTGAGTTGTGGCTAAAAATTTTTTAAACAGCACATTAAAAGTGTGAAGGTCTTCTAGAGTACACCTTTTTAAAAACAAGGTACCTAAGGTATCTAGAGTACACCTTCTTAAAAACAAGGTACCTAAGCATTTGGTTTGCTTACATGAATTCAAATAATAAGTGCTGTAAGCAATATATACATATTATTGAATTTTTTTTAATTTAGAATTTATGTGTCTTTTCAAATCAGAAAGCGAAAAAAAAAACATTTTAAAACACCAAATTTAATCAGAAGAATATTAGACAGTTTCATTTAAAAAACTCGTAAACAACATTAACATTAACACATAACACTACAACATTGTGATAAATACAAAACTTATACACGCATTTGATCTCCATTCCAAAAAATCTTTTTATGTAAACTTATGTAGACTTGTGCAGACTTTTGAAAAGTAAGTTTAAAAGTATATAACTTTGATATTAGAGTCTCCAAAATATTTATCAGTCTTTTTTGAAACTTTTATACACAAAGAGCATTCACAGGATAATTAGTAGACGAATAGTTTAGAACTAAAATTTTCTACCTGTAATACTTTATATAACTAAAAAAAAAATTACTTCACATTAATAAAAAAATTTCAAATGTTAGATGGTCCAGATATTTAGGCTAGATCTATTGAAGATTCCAAGAAAAAATTAAAAATATTTTTAATCAGTAAAAACTATGCAACATCTCATATTTTTTTCGGTATAATCATTTACATCAGTATATTATCTTCATTTTGTACAAGCAGAACCTTAAGATTGTCTAATGTAATTGTAAAATGTACAACATTGAACACAGTTCATAACTTTAAATAACATTGAACATAGTTCATAACTTATAATAGTAATATCTGCATAAAAGCCTAAAACAAATTCAATGTTACTCAAACCAACTGTTCCACATAAAAAATTCAAAAAAATCAACAGAAAAAAACATTAACATTGGCTTTAAAATGGTGTGTGCACACAAATCCTTTAAAAATTGCTATGCTAAAAAATTATAACTTTGCTCAAAAAATATAATAACTTTGCTCAAAAAAACAACAACAACTCTGCTCAAAAAATGTAACAATTTATTATTGATCATCTAAGTATAAAACTTCATACTTTAATTTATGATATAAAAAATTATATTTATTTATCATTTAGTTTAATATTTATTAAATATATAATAAAGCAAATATAGTTTTTAGTATACTTTAATTTAAATGTTAAATTTATCTATAAGTAGTTTTAACATAATGTTTAGTAATATTTTATGTTTACTTTATTAAATACCTTTTTTCTCTCATTAAAGAAATGATTCTCATTTGTAAAAGTCTGTAAAAACACATTTTGTAATGAAATCTTTCTTTTTCTTCAACATCTGCTCTAGGGCAATACACATTAATGATACATAAACGTTGTCCATCAGAAGTTACGTGTTCTGTTATCATACAACGCCCTGCAGCAAAACAAAGACAAAATCTTTATAGTAATGATGGGGGTCATCATCATCATCATCATCATCATCATCATCATCATCATCATCATCATCATCAGCTGTATCATTACTACATCATCCGCTGTATATTAACACATATATATACATATATGTTCTACTTAAAAATACTGCTATTGTAGATTGTTATTATAGATTTTTGCAAAAAAAAAAAAAAAAAAAAGGACCATTAAAAAGAACATTCACAAAGAACAAAACTACATTACAAAAGCTCAAAAGCTAAACAAACAAAAAACACTTTTATTTCTAAAATAACGTTTTATTATTTTTATTTATATATTTATACTTTTATTTACAAAAAAAATTGTTTTAAGGAAAATTTATTTTGTTTAATGTTTTTTTGAAAATAATTTTAATTAAAAAAAAAACAATTTTCCAAGAAATATCTTGTTAATTTTATGTTGACTTTTGCTTATTGTCTTTTTTTTCAAACTAATTATGTTATCAATATAATTTGCATCAGTATTTATCTTTTATATTATATTATTGCTTTAGATGCAATATACCCCCAATAAATATACCCCAGCTATAGATACTTGTTGCTGCATACAGAAAAATTAAAAACAACTGTAAAATATTTGTTCTGAATTCAGTTCTGAGTTTAGTGCCCTTAATAACATCAAAAGAAAGTCTAAAATTACAAAAACATCAACAAAATACCATATAGGTAAATGGTATAAAAATCAAGCATACCAGATTAGTAGATAATATATTCAATCCTCCTATTGATAAAATTTCAATATTTTAACAATTATTAGTTTACTTTATTTGAACAAATTTATTTAAATTTCAATCTTTTTTCGCCAATCTTTAGTTTATGACGATATTGACCAATCTTTTTTCTCCAATTATTAATTTATGACAAAGTTGACCAATCTTTTTTCTCCAATCATTAGTTTATGACTAAATCGACCAATCTTTTTTCTCCAATCATTAGTTTATGATCTTTTTTAAATTTTAGTTTTTATGAAAAGCAAGTGCTTTACTATTTTCTGATAAAGAAATTTACTTTTTATATACATTATTTACATTATCTACTATTTTCTGACATTATTTGTCACTGGAGTTACACTGGAGTTACACTGGAGTTAGTAGTTTAAAATACTTTTTAATTATTATTCCTTTTAAAATTGCTGTTATTTATTTTTTCTTTAAGTATACTCTTAGTTTTGGTAATAAAAACTTAAAACATCGTTTAAGCTCAACAAAATAAGGACTGGCAAATACTCATTAAAATTCGGATTATGAAATTTACTGAAAGGCGAAGTTGACTTGGCCTTCGACTTTAATGCCGAAGTTGAAATAGAAATTTTAAGGCTTTTAGTTAAATTTACAATTTCAAAATTTCACTTAACTTTCAGTTAAATTCAAAAGCTATAAAATTATTTTCAATTTATAGAAGAATTATAAAATTATATGTTTTATGTATACCAACCTGTTTCTATTGGTTACAACCCTCTTTTAATTCTTTAACTTTGAAAAGTGTTTTGGAGTTAAAGAGTTGAGAGAGGGTTGTAACCAATATAAGAAGTAGCTTCCTCAACTAAAAAGTGGCCCATTTGGGAACACGAGTTCAGTAAAAAAAAAAAAAACTTGTTGGAAATAAATTTGTCTTACAGCGTCAATATTTGAAAAGTCTTTTTTAGGCACAAAGTCTATTCATCACTTTTTAAATCTTATTAATTGCTTTCAAAAAATCCTAAAGGTAAAAAACAGGTGATTATTTAACGTAACATTTTTAATGATCTTTTTTCTTTATAAAATGAAAAATCAAATTTTTCAATAAACGTAAATTTTTTTTTGTTTATGTTTGTTTAAAAACATTAAGAGTTGTAAAGATTCCATAATTTATATTCTCATTATTACTGAATTTTTAGATTTTTTATTTTGACGCAAGTTGTTTTTTGTAAGTGTACATTTTTTCAATAAATTAAAATTTACTGAGATTTATTTGTTCTTCGTCATATTTTGAATTATAGTTAATTACAAGCTAAAAAATAATTTTAGTTTATAAAAAATGATTAAACAGCAACCGCGGTGCAAGCTTTAGAAACATGAGACTTATATGCTGCATATATAACTTAAATTTGTTTTTTGATTTGGGCTACATATAAAGCTTAAATTCATCTTTAAGTTAAATTCGGTATATGCATATAATCTAAATTTTCTAAATCTAAATTTGTCTTTCATTTAAATTTGAGTCTTAAAAAGTTGACTTCGTCGGTCAACAAAAAATTGAAACCACTCATCTACTATTCAAAGCTTTTCTTTATTGAACCAATTTAAAATTATAACAAACTTACAACTCACCTTGAATTAAATGCTGAACTAGCTTAAGCAGATTTCTTACAGTTTTAATTTTTTTTTTCTCCCTTAATTACCAATCAATATGATCAAGCCCTTTCTCATATAAATTTAGGTTCTTTTATCATTCATAATTATTGGAACAAAACTGGTCTTTAGCAATGACCCAACAGTATCCTCAAAAAAGTACAATTTCAAGTTAGCTTTTTTAAATAAGTCAAAAACAATCCGGACATTTTGCACAAATGTTATTGGGCATAGCAATTTATTATTTAGGTTTTATAAATCTGCATCTAAAGCAAAATCTTTTTCATGGGCAACCTGTTAAATAGTTTTCAGGTCACTTTTCCACCTGTAACTGTTATGTTATGAAACCACTCAAACTTAGAAAATAAAAATCTTTTTCAAGTCAAGTATTTTTTATAAATAACTAAATGCACAGCATCATAAAACAAATAAACTTTTCGGCAAGTTGAAAGACTATCAAAAATATTTTTAAGTTCATTTTTATATTTTAATAATTTTGTAATGCAAAAATAATGTGTGCAAAATGTTGTACAGCAAAATCACTATTAAATAATGAATAAAACTTTGAATAATCTCTTTTTTTTAACCAATCATCATCAACCTTTATAACTGAAATAGTTTTTTAAATGCAGATAATCTCTTCTTTAAAGCAACTTATCATAATGGAAGCAACATATTTGTAAATGTCACCAATATTGTTTACACCTGTTGAAGCTTTACTGGTTCTTCACATTTCTGCAAATTCTGCAACAACAAAAAAATTTCATCAAACATGCAAAAAACTTGTCATTTTTTAGTAATAACTTTGCAGCTTTTATAGCATCAATATTACCAGAATTATTTTTTCTAAAGAAAATGATGGTAATGAAATTCTCCCAAAAGCGCTTGATTGCATAGAAGAATAGTACAACAACTTGTGTATAAATAGTACAACAATACATTTGTAGAGATTGCTGGTTTTTCTGATATTTTGTATAATAATAGTCAATATAGATATTCTAAAAAAATCAGGACCAGGAGGATTTTGTTGAGATTTTGTTAAAAACAATTTGTTAAAAAATAAGCTTAATATTTTTTTATGTCTTATTTTATTCAATTAATTGAGACTAAAAATGAATTTTGGAACTTAGAAATGAGCTTCATAAGCACTTTCATAAAAAAAAAATTGATTTTTATAGTAAAAGGAACAATATTTTATCCAGCCATACTAAAATATATATATATATATTTTATATGTTATATATATATATATATATATATATATATATATATATATATATATATATATATATATATATATATATATATATATATATATATATATATTAACTTTATATACTTTACACTCTCATAAGTATTTTATAACATGATTCATTAAATGTAATATACCTGGGTATTCTTATGTGAATATAATATAAACAATGAAAATAATATACCTGTGTACTATCTTATGCATTGAACATATAAGATTAAAATAGTTTACCTTCAGAATCTAATGATCGAAGTAATTCATCAGAATACTCTGGAGGGTTATTATAAAAACCAACAACTTGTTCCATTTTACTTGTGAACAGTCCTGTCAGACCTTCTTCAGCAGCGATTGGGCACAATGTCTTCTTGCAAAATGTTGCAACACCTAAACATACAGTTTTTTTAAAGTTGTTTCTAAAATAAATATAAATTTTTTCTCATCGAAATAATTACAATACCAGAATAACCAGTTTTTCGTTTTGAAAAACTAAAGAAAGCATAATATCCTTCAACATTTGCCAAATGATCAGTCAATAAGTTTCCTAGAAAAAAAGTAGTATATGTTACATAGATATTAGAAAGATTAAAACATTAGACTAAATAGAATAAATAACATTGAAGATATTATATATGATCCCATTTGTTATCATTTGACAAAAATGCATTAATTTTTTTTAACTAATTATTTGATGGAATCATAAACTAAGTAAAAATTATCTCATTGAACATGAAAATATAAAGAGAAAGTGGGAGATTTTTCGAAGAAGCTATTTGATTGTGTAAATTAATATCAACAAATGGTTGGTTAAACTAAGCTTAATGATAAAATCAAAAAGCCTAATGTTAACCTATTGAATTTAATTCTGATTGTTTAGACTAGAAAAGATTATGAGAAAATCTTACTTTAATAACATAACTTACTTGTAATTTTTGTTTCTTGTAGACATATAATATCTGCCTCCAAAGAATCAAGTAAATTTCCCAATGAGTGATTTCTACTTGTTGCTCGGATACCATTAATATTCCATGTCAATATCTTCATGGCCAATTCATTAAATTGAATAAAACAAAACTTTTATGCTTGAACAAACTTTACAATTAAAATAAAAATATCATGTCAAAACAGTTAAAAGACCATATTTTTCGAAACATTTATGATTCCTAAGCTCAATCCACACCATGTCCTTAGTACTGTGCTCAAACTGATTCACCTCACATTGTCCTTGTAGATCAACCCCCCAATAGAGGTTGAGAAAGGATTTAAATAACAACAGCAAAAACAAAAAAGTCATTGACTGTAGTAGAACTGATTTGGAATGGTGAATACAGTAAACAAAGCAAAAAATGAAATACAATATATGATTAATACATGTAACAAATAACACAATAAAACTTTTGAGTAATAAATAAAACCAACTTTTGAGTAATAATTTTGTGTCAACAATTAGTTTCATGCTGCTATTTACATTTTTAGAGAAATAAACTAGAACTACTTATCTGATTACCTGATACATTCTTTATTTTTTAGATAAAAATAGGGAGCAAAATCTATTAAGTCTGTATTTTCAAAAAAACACAGACTTGATTGATTTTTTTTTATCTTTCAATTTTTGTTGAAATTTTTTTTTTGATTTTATTTCGATTAATTAAAATAGTCAAGCAAGAAAGCAGATTACAAAAATTCACAACAAATTTTTTTATTTCTCATATTTTTTTCTCACACTTATAAACAGTGTTTATAAGTGTATATCTGTGATTTTCTATCCTTATCTTTAAAATAGAAAATAGAATACACAGAAAACTACACCAAGTTGCACAGAAAACTACACCAAGTTAACAAGTGCAGTATTTTTATCAAACGAGTTGACTAAATTTTGATATAATAATACACGGTATATTATAATAATACACGGTATATTATAATAATACACGGTATATTATAATAATACACGGTATATTATTTTGATATAATAATACACAGCTATTTGATAGCATAGATTTTACTACTTATTATAGAAAAAAAAATTTTTGGAGGAAACTTCTAATAGAACACAGAGATTTTTACACCATCAAACAAATATTTTCTTTAATACTAATAAATAATATAATATAATATACTAATTACATTCTTATTACTATAATATTTCTATAAGAAGTGTGGTAATTAAGTGTGGTATGCATATTGTAACTCTTTATTCTAAAACAGATTTTCCATAAAATCCTTTATTACATGAATTTATCTAGCTGCAAACTATTTAAAAATTTAGTAATAACTGCTTTATTTAGCTGCAACTCTTTAGTTTGGATTTGTTTGATCTTATTTTTTACAAAGTATTATACAACTTTGATAAATCTACAATTTAACTTCAATAAAACTTGGGTCTTTGAGAACTTTCCACTTGGATAGTTTTGCATACCGTTTCAATAAATTGTACCAATAGAGACTAACGTCAGACATACGCAAATTAGTGCGGACAAAACTTTGGCCTCTGAATAAATAAACATTAATAAAAAAAAGACATCTTTGAAATTAAGCAAATAACATAAAAAATAAAAAAGCAAATAAAAATTTTTTAAAAACATTTATATATAAAGTTGAACTCATGTAACTTCTCAAGGGGTCTCAAAATATATGTTCAGATTAAAAGAGTTTTTGAATTTTAGGTGTTCAATCCTAAATATTAAATCTTGAAGAGACTAAAGATTTGATTTAAATGATTTTTTGAACAATGGGAGTTCAAATTACAAGATTTCAACTGTATTATAAAAAAATTAAACACAAAATAAAAGTAACCATAAAAACCTATTAGCTATCTCTTTTGCAAGATGATCATTTTCATTAAAAAACTGCAACAGGTCTCTAAATAAAGAGAAATTTGAGTCAGTAATTTTACAAATTAATAACAATTTTTTAGAATTTTTTTATGAACACATCCACAGGAGCACAGAGCATATACAGCTTTGTGACATACCAAGATCCAACTCATACCTAGATGAAAAGTATATCAAAAACATTCATGTTTTGGGATACCTACATTGAGCAGCCAAATCTTACTAGAAGATCTGCCCAAAGTTTTTTTTGCACCAACACTCTTTAATAAAATGTGGTTATAAAATCTTTAACAAAATTTCACTAAAAATGTATTTGAGATCAAATTTATTCTGAAAATGATTTAAGACCACAAGTGAAAATATTTCAACTCCAAAGCAAACCCGGTTGCAAAAGAAATCTGAATAAGAGACAAAAAATTAAATATTCAGAGAAAGAAATGTTTATCAGGGATTTCAGAAAGAGTGTGCTCATTAGAACCAAGAGATAATTTGGAGAAAAAGTTCTTTGAATAACTAAATTTTTTTTTTTTTTTTTGTAATTCACCTCCCCAAAGCTGAGAAGGCCACTATAGACGAGGAGGCTACTTGTGGTTATAACCCTCTCTCAATACTTTAACTCCAAAACACGAACCTTGACAAAAAAGGCCGCTTCGCGGAGAAACAAGTTGAGCGTGGAACTACCAGGGATGTGGTGGGAATCGAACTCGGAACCTCACGCTTATGAAGCCAGCGCTCTACACCACTACTGCATTAGAAGATCTCCCATTAGAACCAAATTAGAAGATGTAATAAGATCTCCTATTAGAACCAAATTAGAAGATGTAATAAGATCTCCCATTAGAACCAAATTAGAAGATGTAATAAGACCTCCCATTAGAACCAAATTAGAAGATGTAATAAGATCTCCCATGAAAAAAGTAGAAAAAAAAAAGATTAGTTAGACATTTTATTTTATCGTTTTTGATAAAATACGAAGTTTAGTAAACTGAGAATAACGAACTTTAAATAATACCTACCTTTTTGTAGCAAGTTTTGTAAAACACCTACCTTTTTGTATCAAATTCTTGCTGTGATAAAAAGGACCTTGTTCTAAGAAAAATTTATCTGATGAAATAGTTTTCTCCTCCATACACAGCAACTTTTTTAAATTGTTTTTTCTACTTTTCCATCAAATAAATTTTCCAACATCAAAATTAAAAGCATTGAAATTCAAGTTTTTTATTATAAATAATTCCTATAAATAATTTTACTACTTGCTTTTACCTTATTATTTTATAAGAATTAAAAATTTTTTTAAATTTTTTACCTGACTTCAACCAAACTTTTAGAAACTGGAACATAATGAACCCAAGGCTTCATTGCAGGGTAAAAAAACTCAATCCATTCATCACCAACATGAAACACCAATGATTCGCAGAGAAACAAATGTTTAAAACGAAAACTGGCAGCAATGCCACGAAAATTAAACAAATACCTGAGTAAAAGTTTAATTGTAAATAAAATTACTTATTAGAAAGTAAAATAAATTAAAAAATTAATGAATTTAATTCGAGCTATTTTTTACAAAATTAAATACTCTCTCTCTCCCTCTCTCTCTCTCTCTCTCTCTCTCTCTCTCTCTCTCTCTCTCTCTCTCTCTCTCTATATATATATATATATATATATATATATATATATATATATATATATATATATATATATATATATATATATATATATATATACATATTAGGGTGGGTAAAAAATTTTTTTTGCCCTGTTACAGGCTCTAAACATTGCTAATAGTTATTAATATTGATACTATTAAATATGAGAATGATTGTGGTAGATTTAAAGGACGCAACTTTATTTGGAAAATTACCGGTACCCAAATATTTTTGAGAAAAAAAGTTTTTCAAAAGTAGGTCAACCTGGTACTCAAAAGAAGCGAAATTTTATAAAAAATTCGAAAATAATAATCGTTTTATAAAAATCATATTGCCGAAAAAAATTGTTATTAAAAAACATGTAAAAATGCACCTTTTTCACTTTTAGTTAAAAAACTATAGTTATTATGTAATAAAATTTAAAATAATAATTTTTATATAAAAAAATTATTTTTGAAATTTTTATAAAATTTCGCTTTATTTGAGTACCAACATCACATAATTTTGAAAAGCTTTTTTTTTGAATAATAATAGGGCCTGCTAATTTTTGTAATTATAGTTGTGGGTTGAAGGCATTGTTCATAAAAGTAAATACTTTCCTAAATTAGTACATAAAAAAACAACTTTCTAGCAATGTTTAGAGCCTGTAACAAGGAAAAAAAATTTTATGACCCACCCTAATATATATATATATATATATATATATATATATATATATATATATATATATATATATATATATATATATATATATATATATATATATATATATATATATATATATATATATATATACACACATACACACATATGTATATATGTATGTATGTACATATGTATGTATGTATGTATGTATGTATGTATGTATGTATGTATGTATGTATGTATGTATGTATGTATGTATGTATGTATGTACGTATATATATATATAAATATATATATATATATATATATATATATATATATATATATATATATATATATATATATATATATATATATATATATATATATATATATATATATGTATATATATACATATATTAGGGTGATGCAAAAAACAACTTTTTAAAAAATAGTCTGCTGCTCTTAACTAAATGTATTCTATATAATGCAAAAATATTAGGTTTAAAATTTTTTTGAACAAAAAATATTTTTAGGGGTGCCTCATGACCCTTAAAAATTTGACAGATCCTTAATTTTTTGAAAAAAATAGTTTTTTAAAAGTATGTCAACCTGGTACTCAAAAGAAGCGAAATTATATAAAAACTTCAAAAATAATAATTATTTTACATAAAAATAATTTTTTCAGATATCATTACCTAAAAACTATTGTTTTTAATGTGATAATAAAAAAAGTCAATATTTTCAAGTTTTTTTAAAATAATTTATTAATGCAGAGCCTAATTTATATATTTATATATATATATATATATATATATATATATATATATATATATATATATATATATATATATATACATATATACATAAATATACATATATATACATTTATATATATATATATATATATATATATATATAAATATATATATATATATATATATATTATATATATATATACATATATACATAAATATACATATATATACATTTATATATATATATATATAAATATAAATATATATATATATATTTTTTATTTTACTTCACCTCCTCAAGGCCGAGAAGGCCACTACAGACGAGGAGGCTACTTATTTGTGGCTATAACCCTCTCTAAACTCTATAACTCCGAAACACGAACCTTGATGAACAAGGCCGCTGCACGGAGAAACGAGTTGAGCGCGGTACTACCAGGGATGTGGTGAGGATCGAACTCCGAACCACTCGTTTATGAAGCGAGCGCTCTACCACTACACCACTACCGCATATATATATATATATATATATATATATATATATATATATATATATATATACACATATAGATAGATAGATAAGTTTTATAATAATTTAAAAGAAAAAAAGCTGCTGACTTATATCTGCAATGTTCTTCCATTGTCACTTCTGCTGCAGGAGGAGCATTTAGAGTATCCTAAAATCAAAAATAAAATTTTAATCAATAAAAATGTAAGCAATTTTATATATAATACTCTTAAAAATTCCACTATACCTCGTTAGATTTCCAAGCCTGGTTTTTTGTGTATTGTGCATCAATTAACAATGGCTGCTCTCGAGACAAAAGGATCAAAGGGTCTCGCTCATTACTTGTTCTATAAAGTTAAAATTAAGTTTAATTCTTAACTAAATTTTTAAAATCATAAATCTGCAACACAACAAAACAAGCACATTGGGAAGATGCAAAACAAAGACTTGTTAAATATTTTTTTAACTCAATATCATGTTAAAAATGTTAACAAAACTCGCACAAAATCAGCCTAAAATTGTTTTTTAAATGAAAAATACAATTTACTTATATCAAACAAATGTTGAAGTTCTGGCAAAAAAAATTTGAAGCCAATAAATTCATACATATAATACAAATTAATAGTTGCCTAAAAGTTTGAAATTTCAATTTAAAGAAAAAGTTTTTATAGAACTTATTTTTATCAAAATATCAAAATATATTTTTAATGAAAAATTTTTATAAAAATTAAAATTTTTTTCAGCTAAATTCTAAATATTCAGCTACATATCAAAAAAAACTAAATTGTAATTTACTCCTATTAATCAAAATACTCAGCTACAGATCATAAAATTGTCAATTGTTTTAAAACAACCTAAATGAACAAACTGTAAAAAATAAAAATAAAAATATTTTATAGTTATAAAACATTACTTAAAAAAACTTTACTTTTAAATAAAGCTTGACTCTTAAAAATTTAGTTGTTTCATTTCTTTATAATGATTGGTTTTATTATTTGACAGTGTTTATGTGATAAAACCATTTCATTAAAAGAGTACATGCTTTCAATGAACGCAGTGTTCATTAAAAGCATGCACATTTAAAATAAGCTAGCCTATATACAAAATATATTTCTCATACTTAACTATGTAATGCTTAAGATTAACCTGAATGATTTTAAATTTTAGCACAACTATTACATAATGTTCAATAAGCAAATTTTACTTTTTCACTGGAATTATCATTTAAACCTATAAGGTTCAATTATTAATATTACCACTATTAATTATTATGTAAATCCAGTAGTTAAAAAAAAAATTCTGATAA